CTAGCAAAAATTACAACGATTCAATAACAATCTTAAAAAATTTTTGCAAAAGTTAAAAGTCCGAGTTCTGGATTAAATATTAGAGATACAGAAAAATGTCAAGAAAGCTTTTTAATAGAAAATTTAATTTCCTATAAAAAATATTCTTATCAATTTTTCCGTATCTTCCATCGTTGAGACAAAATTTAAAATATTCCTACGCGCAAGCTTAAAACATTTAGTAATATAATTGAATACTTAAAAAATTTCACACCAAGATGACAGTGTAAAATTATTGAGTACAATTTTCAAATTTTTTCGTGTGTTAAAATTTCTCCAACCAAGGTCATGACCGCTACCTCACATTTCGATACAGAAATAAATTCTCTTGCATTATTTATAACCTGAACTCGGGTGTTCCAGCATGAGTTAACAATTTACAAGAGGTTATTTATCTCGGAATACAAATAAGTATAAATAAATATATAAATAAATGAATGAACAAACGAATGAAAAAGAGAAAAGAAAAAAAATTAAAAAGAAAAGAAATCAAAATAATAATAAATAACGGCGCGTTTTTTATCGTATCAATTCGTAAAATTCGATCCTAACGATTTTGTCAAACGTGCTGTTGAAGTGGTTACTAATGTAAAGCTTCGTCTCGGAGGGAATTTGCACGTCAAGCACGTTTGTCTGTCTGTCCATCGGGGTATCAGGTGCTTGTCTTCAGGGATCCGGGATTCCGGGTTACAATTTTGTGTGTAAAAGAGGATTCGAAAGAATTATTTTTTATCTTTCTAGTCTCCTTTATTTTCCTCCGCTCTGCTTTCGCTCCTCTCCCTGGTTGTCAGCAGTAAAAATAAAATATAAAATATATTTATGTATTAAATGAAAACTCGGAATAAGAGTATAGGTGGAGGCAGATCGGAATATCCGAAAATGTGAAAGGTGGTGTTGAATAAGAGTGAAATAGAGCTTGATGGGCACGCGAATACTGCCTAAATGTGACAATGAATAAACGAGAAACGTTGCAAATCCAATGATTTATTGAGCTGATACAAAAGACTGAGGTTGAAACCCTCGCACAATTGATTCCTGGTTTAATCTTATCCTGATATAGTGTTATGCCAAAGACTTTCTTAATGGATCTAAGGACAAGCTGATTAATTCACAGAAGCTATCAACAATCGCGAAAAAAAAAACAATAATAAAAGAAGTAAAGAGGAAAGTAGAAATAACGATAACGATAACAAACTAATGAATAAAAATAAGGGTGAGATTGAGATTGAAAGTGAGAGTGAGAGTGAGGGTATTGATGCTGATGTTGTTTTTTATTGGAGTAAAGAAGTTGTTCAGAGACACGACAAATTATGCCAATACTTTTACGCTTAGAGAAGCATCGATCTGGAGGATAGAATACGCCGAGGCCTTTGGGAACGACGCCGTAGAACAATTCCGTATTCTGATAAGTCTCCTCTACAATGATTGTAGCAACCTTATCCTATCCAAGAAGATGGTCATCCCTTGGGACAGGAACCTGGATATGTCTGGAATAGCGAGCCAAATTACCCGTAAAATTAGCGCGGAAACTCTGAATTTATTCTATTTCAGGATAGAGTGAAAAATAAAATGAATAGGGTAAAAAGTTTCCCGGCGCATAGCATAAAAAAAATGTTTAAGATAAGAATGAGAGTAAGAATAAGAATAAAAATAAGAAAAATGATAAATTTGTCAGCTGGAAAATTTATTATTTTGTTGGTAGTTTTAAGTTTTAATATCTGTACACTTGTTTTTTAATATGGCGGTAAATATTTTGAGAGGTGAGTTTAGTTGAGTGTTTTGTTTTTCAGAGGACTGAGAAGCGAAAAAGTTTCTTCATTTTGTAGATATAATATACACTGTCGAGAATATGAGACACTCGAAAATGCGACACATATTATTATACGCTCGTTATATTATGTGAGTGTATACATGTACGTGTACGGGTTTTTTGTCGCGAGTACGAAGAAAAAGCGGCAGTGAGGAGAGGAGGGCAGATGGAAGTGGGTGGCGAGCCTGTTGAAGGAAGTGCCAGTAGACGAAAAGAGGAAAAAGAGAAAGTGAAGAACGGATCTTGGGAAAGCACCTGCGCCAGTATAAGGAGGGTGGAAAAGACAATTGATGACACACGCAAAAAAATATAAAAAAAAACGAGATGGAAAAAATACCTCGAGGGTTTTCCCTCGCTTGTCGCTCAGGTCTTACCACCCTACTAAGAAAAATATATTACATGATATCAAGACTTATAAGCCCAGTTTCAACACTACGTCGATGAAAAACATCTGGATCTATAAATTTATTAGATGAATTATTTTTTACTTGTTTTGGATTTATCGCGTTTTTCGGGATTAGTTTCATAAATTTCAAGACGCGGTAAAGAAATACTTTACTAAAGATTTTTGTTGGACTTGAAGAAATTTTAATTGTAATTTATAGTTATGATTAATACCTGTTTCGATATTGAATCTCTGTAAAATTTTCGAGTAAAAAATTATTTTAATAATGCTTTAAAAAAAAACATTCCTACGTTTTCATGACCCTACTGATGTTAGTTTAAACATAAAATATTTGTGTGGAAAATTGACATGGTAGTGGCCTCTAGCAGATTGAGTATTAAGCATCTAACAGAATTAGATGTCGACAATAACAAATGCTGTATCAGGTATTCTATTGCAGAAATGATAATAAATTGGAAAAATAAAGTATTTTACAAAAAAGTACGGAACTGAAAATAAGTAGCCTTAAAATTATTATACATAATCGCACATATAATTAAAACACATATACAAATTAATATCACTTACCGGTGATGAACTCTGCTACTTTTGTTGAGAACATCAGAAGATCCAAATTCATGAGCAGCATCTTTAAAAATCAATTAGATAAATTAATAATTGTTCTTTTAAAAAAAAATGATACCTGAGATTAATTTTTAAAAACCAGTATGATATATTAATAAATAAATAGCTGAAAAAATATGTATTAATTCAGAACACTGTTTTTAACAATAGCTGTATTAAATATAATAGAAATTATAACTCTATCATTACTTGGATGGAATTAAGCAATAACGTCTTAACCAACATTTTTAAAAAAATCGAGTTATTGTGATGAACTAAGTAATCTTATGATACTAGGTACGTACATCATAATAACTCGATTTTTTTTTAAATGTTGGTTAAGACGTTATTGCTTAATTCCATCCACTTTTAATAATTAAAACGAATTTGGAATCATCACTGATAACTTTTTTCAAACAAACAAGACTGAAATTTTTGACAACAGTCAATAAGTGATCATTCGTTGCTATTGTTCGAGATTTCATTTTTATCTGATAATAAATCCTATCAATCAGCATCAACGAACTTAAATTATGAATATTTAATTATTTACTTGTAATTAAATATTTATAAGTTTATAATTATTCTATGAAAAACTAAAGTTTCATTAGCTCTTCTCTTACCTCTCGCTGTAACATAAGCGTGCTAAACTTAATCAAGCGCCATCTTACGTCAACATTTTTGCCGCCTAAATCCAGCAGCACATCAGCTTTCATCCTAAAAAATCATCGTCAAATCATGACCTATTCATCAGTTTACATCATTAATCAATGATACTAAAGTTAGCCGACGTTTTTAATTTTTTGATTTTTTTTTATTGAAAAATTTAGAACAAAAAAATATTTTTTAAAAATTGCACTTACATTTTGTCAAGTTTTTTACAAATGAAATTTTTTTTTTATTTTTTTGTAATAATTTTTTTAATAAAAAAAAAATCTAAAAATTTATATATGTCGGCTAAGTTAATTTTCATCATTAATCACCATAATATACATACCTAAGTTTTATCATTCATAATACCATCAGCAACTTTAACCAACAACAAGTATATAGACATTGACTCCCGACCATGATACAGAAAGTAGCAAAAGTCTAAAAATTTTTTTCAATCTATGTAATTAATAATTTATTTTTATACAATTTTTTTTTTTAATTGAAATTTTCTCTGGAAATAAAAAAAATTTTTAGATTTTTACTTTTTTTAGTGACATACCGTGTACTAATTTACTTGCTAAATTTCTTTACAAATTTTCCCATACATTTAAATAAACTTCGTGACTAAATTTCTATTGAAAAAAGCTATCAAGCTAACTACTGTATACGTATCTCGGACAAGCAAATTTTAAATCATACTTTTATCTTTATCCCGACAAAAAATAATTACACTTGACATTATTATACTCGGTGTTCCTGTATTTTGTGTTTTAGTTACTTAAAAAAATTAAATGTTCAATAATTAAACAATAAAACCTAACAATTATACCCAAAATACGCAGATGTTCGAATATCTAGATGCTTCTCTCTCCCATTCAATTGTGAATATCGCTATGACGCAGTAGTTTTCCGTTATATTTTAGCTCTCTCACTGGCCGCAAGCGCTGTAACGCCCGGCAAATTCAAATCTCTTGTTTTCATTGCGCAGTATTTAACTGAAAAATAAAGACGCGTGCGCATTTATCTCTATACTACCAAAGCTTCAAAAAGTATGAACACTATACACAATTACACATAGGATAGACAAAAAGAGAGTGGGGATGTTTACTAAACGTAACCCGAGTCATATACGTGGCTATCTTTTTCTTTTTTTTCCATCGTCAATCGATAAAGTCTGCTGGAATAAAAATACTGTCAAGTTTGACAAGCTTAAAACAAGCCTTAAAAACAGTTAGTAATTCACAATAATTAAACATAGATCTGATTAATAACAATAAGTGTATTTAACCGCAGAAAATTGATTAAGATAAAATTTTGTTGGTTGCGGTAAATCAAGGCGAGGAAACGTCGTAAATCGTCGTTGAGTTTTGTGCGATTGTAAGTAACCAGTGCGGCCATTACTGCCGTTCCCTATTCATTCACAAAGAACAACGCAGTTTTGCATAATTATTTTATTATTTACCGGGAGGTAAAAATATAAGCAAGAATATGCTTCGCTTGTCCGATAAATCACCAGGTCCTTCCTGGGCAGCCATTGTACCGGTATCATTCAACATTTATTCATCAACGAATCCTGACATGATAACTGTTTATTATTATCCTAAAGACGCAACTGCTGACCCTTTGGGTGATGATAATTTTACGAGTTTCAAAAAACAGTTAATCGTAAGTTATTTTTATTTTTATTATTTTTTTCTCATATTTGTCACATCAGACAATAATAAATTTATAATTATTTATTAAATTTTTTTTACAGAGTTTTAATGTTTTAAAGAATGGTGTTAAATCTATTGACTATATAGACGACGAAGATGATGTCATTCATATTGATTCTGAACAAGAATTCATGGAAGCAATAAAGGTTGGTAATTTGATAGTTTGGATAAAAATTTTATATTATTTTTCATAATAATTATTATTATTATTATTTATTGTTATATTTTTATTTTAGTTTGCTAAGGCGTACAAAGAGAAAAATGGCCAGAGTGTTTTCTTGCTGATTGATGAAAAATCTGAGCGAGAAGCTAATTCTGAGAACGCTAAAATATCAACTGACGATGACAAAGCAGAACTGATGGAAGAGGAAAGCAAAGTTGATGTTTTAACATCCCAGCAAAGTGAAACCGTTACGCAGAATGATTTCAAGCATAATAGATACAACTGCATTAATAAAAAATCCAAGTCAAGTAAAGCTGATGATAAATCAGAACCAAACGCTTGCTGTAAAAATTATTTAGAACAGGTATTATTAATTTATTGATCTCTTTTTTTTCAAGGGGGAACACCACTGTGACGATCGAAAAAAATAAGTGATTTTTGGGAATTTTTTTGACGGAAAATAAAGGAATTTGGGGATCGGATTATTTTTAGTTTATTAAGGGTACATTAAAGATTATTACCGTAAATTTTTATTAAAAAATATTTAATTATTACAAAGTTATTAACAATCTCGTCGAGCACTGGAGAAAATTTCCCCCCTCCCGGTCGGTTCGATAACTCAAAAACGGATCATCTGAAAAAAAAAAACCCAAATTGCTTTTTAATCAGTAAGGATGTAGTTATCGTAGGACGTAGCATGTACGGAATTTTGAAAATTTTAATTTTTAACCCTAGACTGGTCACCCGTATAGCGTGGCCTCGCGTAACAACTACTTAACCTATAGTGCGAGCGGGAAACTAAAAAAATGGTGACCAGTTTAGGGTTAAAAAAATGGCAACTGATTGAAAATTTTCTCACTATTCTTACTGTTTTTTTTGTTGTTTTAACCCGGCTAAAAAAATCTTTAAAATAAAAATTTTTCAAATTCCGTACGTGCGACGATAACTAGATAACTACATCCTTACTGATCAAAAAGCAATTTGGGTTTTTATTTTCAGATGATCTGTTTTTGAGTTATCGAACCGACCGTGGAGGGGGGAAATTTTCTCCAGTGCTCGACGAGATTGTTAATAACTTTGTAATAATTAAATATTTTTTAATAAAAATTTAGGGTAACAATCTTTGATGTACCCTTAATAAAATAAAAAAAAAAAAACCGATTCCCAAATTCCTTTATTTTCCCTGTCAAAAAAATTCCAGAAAATCACCTCTTTTTTTCGATCGTCACAGTGGTGTTCTCCCTTAAATTAAATTCATACACTTGCTTAAAAATAAAACTAATTATTTATTCGTTTCAGTTTAAGCAAGAGATTATTACTGAAGTAACGAAGAATGTTTTAAAAAAATTATCCACCGCTTTGAATTCATCAGAAATTGATGCAGAGATAAAAATTGAAGAAAGTCGTGATAAATTGTATCACCATACTCCGCAACCTGCTTACTCACATGAAAGTTCATTGGGAAATCATAATTATTTACCAAAGAACCCACTGCTTTCTGGTTTTACGAGGCACCAAGGGCCCATTTATCCGATAAATCCGATAAATCATGAAAACAAACATGACTTTAGAAATAGTATGATTGGTGGCAACTATACTGTGATGAAACCGCCAAATTATTATTGTCCACCTTATTGGTTCCAGAGACCAACAAACTTAGCTCCCACTTACTTGAGACCGAACAATTTGGCTCAACAACACATACAATATCCCCCATTGGTATTCCCAGAAACTGTTGAGAGTAATCATTTAACCCGCAGTGAAACAGCATTTGGCAATGAACTCTTGCGTAAAGTTATAAAAGAAGATTTGGAATCCCAGCATATGGCTGTTATTTCTAACTCTACTTCTACTCCCGCTGAAAAGAAGAGTTCCAACGATCAGAAAAAGAAACCCAAAATAACAAATTTAGTTGTGCTTAAACGTGATGACTTGACTCAAGAACAGAAGAGTTTAATCGATCAGTTCAAAAAAATTAAATCCAAGAGGCCAAATGTTCTAGAGATGAAATCGACAATTAAAAAAATCGCAGCGCCTTCTCCAAAGAAATCAAGCTCTTCAAAAATAAAAAATAAATCTAAAATCGAAAAAGAATTAACGTTGAACGCCAAGATGTTATCTAACTTGAAATTAGACAGCGAAGAAGTTCAAAAGACTGGCGGATGCAAAAGAAAGTCTCACTCTACTGATGAAAATCGTACTGATAAATCCTACAGCTGCGACGATCCTTTGAATTCAGTGATCCAAAATCCCCCAGATGCAATAACATTCGAAACATATGAGAAGCTAATGAGAAAAAAACTTGACCAAGAGAGGCAATTTAAAGTCAATTTTTTAAAGAACATGAGGATTTTCCCAAATCCATCAGTGATTCCAGTTAAAGATGAAATAAAAGACGCTAAGGACAATGTTAAAGAGACCTGGTCTCAAGACACTAATCAATCTGACGGCGAAGTCAATGACAAGACAGTACATGATCAAGATGAACAATCTACCAGTGATGATATCAGTACACTTTCAGAAACAAGTAGTCTGTCTGAAGTAAGCGAGAATAATTTTGAGCTTGTTTATTACGACGAAGAAACTAATAACGTTGATGTTAAAGCAAAGAAGCGTGTTTCATTGAGCTTAGATACCAAAGAAAATTCGGTTACAAAAAATACTTCTGCAGATTCAGTTAAACAAGATGGTGGTTCTGTAAAAAATAAGCCGACTAAAACCGAAGAAGGGTCAAAAAAATCTGAAGATCCGAAGAAAGAAGTACGTTTTGACGTAGTGATTGAAGACATTGGGCCTGACAATGAGTCTGAGGAATTAATTCCGGAATTAACCAAACGTCAAGGTGGTGATTATTCATATGTACGTGAAACTTTACCTAAAGCTAAAGAAGTTGTTGCAGAGACATCGGAAGCTACCGAAAAAAATAACAAGAAAGAATCAGACTGTAACAAGCAGCAAAGTAAGCCTACATCAAATATTATAGGAGACATCTGTACTTTTTGGGATACTTATTCCGTACCAAAATCTCACATAGATATAAAAACTTTTACAGATAAGAAGAGCCAACATAACTATCCAAGTTACCCAACACCTGTTCCAGACGTATCCTCAAGCTGCTTTGTGGTTCATCCATCAGCCCCGAAGTCGCCAAAGACTGAAAAAAAAATAAGGGAATTAGAAAAAACTATGAAACAGACTAAGAAAGAATTACAAGAAGCTGAAAAAAAATTATGGGCGTACCATGAAAAGTCAAACAGCAAAACTCCTCAAGATGAACACACCCCTAGTAACTTGAACTATCCATTGCCATCGAGCGTACCTTTATGTCCAACTTACACTACAAGTGCTTCTTGTAGCTACTCTAACGATCCTAAAAATAACCCTGATCCTTTTTCATATGGATATTTGCACTCTCGCAGACACAGTAACCCGACTAGAATGATTCCTCCTCCTATGTATGTACCACCACCACCACCACCACCACCAGCTTTCTACCCGCAAAATTACGCGCCACAAAATTTCTCTTCACCCGGCTTCGATCCTTACGTTCCGATGACAACACTGGAAAATATTGCTCCATTTGCATTTCAATCTAGCTCAGCCAGCGGTTTTGATCCCATGAAGTCATTCCATGAGAATGTTGCTACCGAAGCTGCTGCTCAGGCTTACGCTCATGCTCGTAAAGCCGTTGATAATTACTTTAACAAGCAGGTAAATTATTTCCTCAAATCATCAAATAATTAACATGTACTTTTTGGGTTTTATCTAAATTAATGATTTTTTTTTAAGCAGAATGAGAAACGTTAAATCGTGAAAATCATCGGCCCGTGGATCTTCCATCTTCACGTCCTTTTTATTTTTCTTATTACTACTATATATTATAATAAATGATAAATATATGTAACCTACTCAAAATTACCATTTATAAAACTATTTGAAGTAGTATGGTACTTTTAAACAGTATTTCTCGTAAAATATTAATTTTCTTTTTATTATTAAATATTATCGAGATAAACTATAAAACTTATTACATAAATTATGTCATTTGTGTATGGCTTTCTTTTGAAATAAAGAAATAAGAATTTATTTATGATTTGTCAATTAAAAGCTATTAATAATTTAATTTATTAGCATAATATTTAAATTTAACCGTAGAATTTTCTAAATACTTGGCTAATCATATCACACAATTTTTTACAGTATAAACAGAAGTACCATTTATCGTCACTGAAATACTAACACTAGAATAAAAGACCCCATTAGTGGCGGGGACCCTATTACTGGAACTTTATTTAATTTTGGTACTTATTCAATTAATTAAATCATTAATTTCAATAATGAATATATTATTTCTAATCTTTAAGACCTTTAGATCGAAAAAAATTTTTATTTTTATTCCAAGTAGAACATTTTTTCATTGAAAGAAAAAGTGCCAGTAATAGGGGTTAAAGGTGCCACTAATGGGGTCTTTTACCTTATGTGTTTTTATCATTAAATTTTACACCTGACGTAAAAATAGAGTCATAAAAAAAATACGATATAAACGCAAGGAATAATAAAATTTAGAATTTAAGATGTCTAAATAAAGTAAATCTTTTCTTTTCAGCTAATTTTACTATTTAAAATAATTAAAAATTGATAATTATAATTTATGGTCTAGGTTCTAGACTTTTTAAGTATATTTTTTTTCCTTCCCTACATTACTCTTCTTTATCTGATCAATTGTATCAATTTTTGTTTTTTTTTTTTTATTTTCTCTTCATTTATACTTTAATTTTTCTGCTTATTAATTAATAAAAAAATTATTCCCATAAAAACAACTTAAATTAACCCAGATAAATTTGAAAATTTTGGAGAGCCTGATCATAAGATTACATCAATTAATCAATTTAAAGGATTAGTACCAAGAACATATTGTTGTGTAGACTACAATAACGATAAAATTAAAGCGAAATTGTCTGTTGGATCATTCTTAAGACAATCAACGGTAGGTTTTACAATTGATAATTGTAATTTAAAACAAAAATATTTTAAATGTTCACTATTTATATATTCCGCTTCGACATAAAAATACTTTCTCTATTTTTTTTTTTTTTTTTTAATGAAAAATATTATGAAAATGAAGTTAGCTGATATTTCAAAATTTTTAGAAATTTTTTATTGAAGAAATTTAAATTAAACAATTAAAAAAAAAATTGTCACATGTAAAAAACTTGAAGAACTATAAGTGCAATTTTTTAGAAATATCTTTTTAGTTATAATTTAATTTAAAAAAAAAAAAATCAAAAATTTTTAGACGTCTGCTAACTTCAGTGTCATAAAATATTCACTTAATTAAATATAAAAAAAAAATATTTTTCAGCAATGATTAAAAGAAACAAATTAATAATATTTTTTTTAGAATAACACAAAACGAAATGTAAGCATTATTCCACATTTTGATAAATAATTTCAATAAAGCGTTTTATTATACAACAAAAAATATCAAAATGTCTTGATAAATATTTACAAAATTATTTTTTAGCCTTAAAATTAACCATTCATTATACAACTAACAACATTCTTACAATCTAATGCAAAAAAAAAATATTATTCATCATTTTTGATGAAGGACGGATTGCTTTCCCCGTAGTCTTTAAGTCTTGTGCCGTTTCTCGTGTTTGCAACGTCATTATAATGATCGCTATCATCATCTTCATCATTAACGATAACATATCTATAAAACTTGGCCATGACTCCAAAAATGACCATGTCGACAAGCATAAGTCCAGCAAAAAGGAAGAACTCGTTGGCCTGATAAAAAAAACCATCAATCAGAAGATTAATTAAAATAAATACCGAGTAAGTACAAAGTATTAATAATAAAAATAAAAATAAATACTAGGCCAAAGACGGAATTAAATTATTATCTTTTGTAATTCCCTGAGTAAGCTCACCTGCCTATCAAAGATCTTAGCTTCGGCGATTATCACTACAATGAGATTACCAAATGCAACAGTGAAAAGCCAGCCAGCTTGTAGGAGCGACTTCATGCTGATTGGAGCCTGAGTAAATGCAAATTCAAGACCCGTCACTGAGAACATTACTTCGCCCATCGTTATGATTATGTACTGAGGAATCAGCCAGAGTATGTGCATGGAATTTGGCGTGGTAACTGTTACCATACCTGCTTGGTTTAAATCTTTAGACGTGTAAGTTTGGACAGTGTAGACACCTCCCATTTTTAACATTATTTTTTTTTCAACACCATTTACTTTAACTTTGTAGGTTCCAGGATCTAGTTCAACGAACAGCGAATGTTCTACTCCTTTAGCTGCTTTTGATTCGTACTTTTTGTTATCTTCGCTATCAAGTACTTCTAAAAGAGCCGGAGTATCTAGTGTATTGTGGGTAAGTAGTCTTATTGCTGGATTTCCTACATCAGTTTTATTTACATGGTCTTCGAACTCGTACGGACTAGATTCAGGAATTAGAGCGAAAGACGTCGCTTTTTTTTCAGTCACATTAAATGATCCTGTTATCAAAATGAAGATATTTAAAATTTCACGAAAAAAAGAAAAATTACATCATTTAATGTAACGTGGTGCTTCATATAAAAAACTAGAAAAATTACAGTTTAAGATTGTAATTTTTACAGATTTTATAAGAATTACATTGTAAAATTTAAATCAAAAGTAATTTAGCAGACATTTAATCATTTTAAGAATTTTTGTAAAAATAAATTATTGCAAAATAAAATCAGGAAAAAAAATTGACATGTAGAAATTTAAAAAAATTTTAAATGCAATTTTTTTAAAATAATTTTTTCGAACAAATGTATTTTAAAAAAAAAAAATGGTCAAACGACTGCTATATAACTTTAATGTCATAAAATTTAATTATTACATTGAAAGCTGTGAAAATTAACGTTCAAAAAGTTTGAATTATAAAAATGTTATTTCGAACTGCATTTTTCTACACTTGTCTTACACTGAGAGAAATAATTTATTTTGAAAAAAATTGAACATTTTTATGACAAGAAATTAATTTGTTGGAAATTTTCAATAATTATATTTCTTTGCTAAAGAAATCAAAATTGTTCTTACAGTAACTTTCTTGTTGAAAAAAAGTTTTCTAGATTTGGGTAAAAATAAATTTGGATAAAAATTCTTAAGTTGTCTATCTAAAATTGTTCTTTTTCAAATCATATTTTTCAAAAGAAATTTTTTCTCTCAGTGTAAATTTAAAACATTTATTACTATTTATAATGTAATTTTTACATTTTTTTCCGTGTTGAAAGGAAAATATTTGATTGAAATGAAATGAACTTACCATAATTAATTTCGGTAATACCACATTTTGAAAAATTGATCTCGTACTTGATAGATTTATCACCGACTGCATTTATGTTTGTATCTTGCCACATTGCAAAAGGAGATATATCAAATGACTGGTTACTATTTAATTTAATACCTACATCACAATTGTTTGGGTTGAATAGTCTTAATTGCGCCAACCCATCGGACGGCAATACTGGATATGTTTTCTGAAGTAAACATTTTTTATTTAATTTATAAATTTTACTGATTTTATATTACAGATATTAAGTATAAATAATACATACCTCGAGCTGTAGTTCTACAAGCCCGGAAACAATGAACGCAAGACCGGCAAGAAACCCGCCAGTTGCCATTTTTTTAAGCGGCGTATTTATAATCTTTATTTTAGCCAGCATTGGATAAATGCAAGTCTCGAAAATGGGGATAAATATAACGATAAAAAGTGGATTGACAACTTGCATTTGGTCAGCTTTTAGGACAAAACTTCCTATCTGACCGTCCATCCTTGTTGCTTGGAATGTCCAACGCGATCCTTGTTGATCGAAAAGTGCCCAAAAGAACGGCAATGGAATGAATAGTGTGAGAACTCGGAATGTTGACTTTATGTCAGATATTAATTTTGAATCGTATTTATCATCGGCATGATCCAGCCAATGATCACGGGAAATTTTTCTTGTTGTTGTTTTTTTATAAATTGCATGCTAGAAATTGATAAATATTTAAATAACTATTCAGTTTAAAAATTAATTATATTACACCGAGAGAAAAAATTATTTTTAAGAAAAAAAAGCACTCTTGTTACAAAAATTTAAATTCTTAGAAATTTTCCTTTATCAGCTGAAGAAATCACATTATTCTTGTAATATTTTTTTTTTTTTGGAAAATAAAAATTTTTTCCATACAGAAAAAGAAAATTTGAAATTAAATCAAGAAGTATCTCATTAAAAACTTCAAGTTTTTAATGACAAGATTTTTTTTTAATTTTGATATATTTAATCGATTTTACTAGTGTGATAAATTACACTACGACAAAAAAAATAATTTTATGTCATCAAAAACTTAAAGTCTTGAATAAAATACTCGATTATCTTTCAAATTGTTTTTTTTTTTTATAGACACAAAAAAAAATTACTCCAATTAAGTAAATAATTTTGAAGAGCTTCATCTTCTTGATTTGAGTAGAAAAATTCTTAATCTAATCAATTTTTCTTGGTTTAAGTAAAATTGACTTGATTCAAGACAATTAAATTCTTCAATATTATTATCTTGGTTCAAGAATTTTTTTCTTGGTTCAAGGTAATTTTTTTTCAGTGTATAAAAAAAAATGCTATGAAAAAAATGTGATTTCATCAGCTGAAAAAAAAAGTGATGAAAATTTCCAACAATTTAAATTTTTGTAACAAGAATGCTTTTTTTCTCAAAAGTAATTTTTTTTTCAATGTAATTTAAAAATGTTCCAACTTACCGATATGCATTTGGTGACATTTAAAAAAACATTCCCTTCCGGTTTTTTCATCTTGTACATAGATTTACCAAACAAAAAAATAACTAAAAAATAAATCAACCACTTAGTGATAATGTTAAATATTTAAATGAATAAATTTTCAAAAAAATTACCAATTGACGTTGTCATCAAAATAGCTGGAACAAGAAATGCAACAGAATAACAAGTCTGTTCTCCAAAACATTTAACACCATGACGTAACTCCGGAGTAAGAAACGTGGAGATCAACGAACCTAAATTAATAGCAAAGTAAAATACCGAAAAGAACATCGCTAAATATTTTTCTTGCTGTGGAAGAACAAATTGATCGCCTCCAAAAGCTGCAACGCATGGTTTTATTCCACCGGATCCCAAAGCGATCAGAAGTAATCCAAGTATAGAAAATTCTCTGCAAATAATTTATTTCTTAAGTGCGACGCAATTAACTCATAAGAGAGCATTGAAAAAATAACTTTAAATTTTAAATAGCGCACAACTAATCACAATTAAGTGACGTTTGTTTTGTTAAATATGTTTTCATTGACATTGACATCACTCATATAATTTAATTAAGTGAAGTGATAAAATTTATTGATATTTAAAAATTTTAATTATTTTCAAAATACTCATCACATAATCTCCAATTACATTATTTATAATTAAAAAAAAAAAAAAAAGAAAATTTGTTATATAATGAATTGCAATTAGGTAAGTGAAATCTCCGAATCTGGCACATGTCCTTCAAATAAAACACAATCCTTATTACCTGATAGGCAGACCAAACGTCGGAGCTGCACTTGCCGCTAGTAAAAGTTGTCCGATTGCATAAACAATACTCAGATAAAGAATGGTCCTGAACTTGCCGAGCCATGAATCTGCGAGTATCGCTCCGATCAATGGAAAGAAGTATACAAACATTGTGAAGGTATGGTAAATAACCGTTGCCGTGTCATCGTTATAACTTAATTTTGATGTCAAGTACAATGATAGAATTGCTGTTAAAAATAAAATTTATTAATATTAATATTGTATATTAATCAAGAAGATACTTTGTTTGAGCTTAGAGAACGTACTTCGCATTCCATAGTAAGAAAATCTTTCGCAAAATTCATTGCTGACGATGAAAAATACCGACTTTGGATATTTGAGTTTCTGAAATTATTATTAATTATAATTATTTACTTTAAATCAATTAATATTTTTAATTATATAAATAATTTTTATCTCTTTTTTAAATTAATTTTACTCGGTTTACAATTAAGATTAAATATAATTACAGTGATATCGACGGTCATTTATTAATTAAATATCAATAATAATAAAAAGTAACTTTGATCTATAACATTAATGTCTTTAATGGAGATAAATACTAATTATGATTATTAATTATTATACTTATTTCTTGGGAATTTTATTTATTTAATTAACTGATTAAAAGTATGGTTGCGATTTAAAATAATAAATAATAAAATAAAAGGGGGGAATTATTGTTATTTGATTTAATTTTTTTAGTCAGTATTGATTAAGAGAAAATATACTTGACAGTACTTTTTAAAACAATTCAATATGCAGTCAGCATTTAAACACGGATTCATTCCTTTTCTTGTCAAGTACTTGACCCCATACCCAGAACAAATAGATATTTATATAACTATATGTATACACTCTGCAGACGGAGTTCGTTTGCTTTATAAATAAAGAAACAATTAGGAAAAGGAAATACTTAATACTTTTATAGCGCAATTAAATGAAAATGATAACAATAGTTTAAATCGACTTTTTTTTATCTAATACTAATCTTATTGTTTACACAAATGAGTTTGCTGCTTAATTTACGAATCAAATAAGCATTGTAAAATATAAAAAGAATTTAATAAAAATAACATTTATTGTCTTTACGACTTTGATAATGTTTAATTTAATAAGAAAAATACTTATTCTTCAATGAATATTGACACAATTGTATTTGACAACCCAGATAACTTTTTATACAATAAATTATAAATTATTGACTAGTTGTTTTTTAAAATGCAATAATTTTCTTATTGTTTATTTTTTTAAGTATCATTTTTATTAATTAAATTTTCAATCAGCATCAATAAAAAAAAATTACCTTAGTTTGTTTTTCTTCATTAGAATTCATGATAGTTTTACGAGCGTCAAGTGTAACTTAATTTAAATTCAAAATTCCTATTAACTTTCACTTATAACAAATAATCAATTGAAATAATACTTGATACCATTAACGGGTAGACAATTTGCAAAGTTAAGTTGTTAAATAACTCAATAAATAAATTTTATTTCATCGTTAACTGATTGACTTTTAATTGATTTCTGTGACGGATCAAAGGCGGCTTGAAAGTACAACGAATTAACTTAACGACAAGTAGCACATCGTTGTAAATACAATGACGGTAAAAACCCGACTGTTGAGTTTAATTCCCATTACAAAGGTTGTAACCGATGTGAGCTATACAAGTGAGAAGAAACTTAGCTGAGTTTTCAGCATGCCGAAGGCCAATACAATCCAAGGAGCCGTCGTGGGGACATTGATATGATCAACTGTCATCTAGACAGCATCTCTACGACATAACAGTTTTTTTGAATTTAAACTACAGTACAATTATAAATTGTCCAGTCAATACTTTTACAATTATTATTATCATTATTATTGGGTTCAATTGGATCTTGATATGAGAGAAAGTTTAAATAGATCTCAGATACTCTGATATAATTTATCGATAAGATTCCGTCATCGATACACGCTAGTTCTGCGATATATGCTACTAAGCGTCAATGAAGCGTAAAAATCTAATAGAAAATAATTATGCTGCGGTAATATTTTTTATAAGAGGCCAATGATCTGTAAGAAAAAATTTTCAAAATTATCTTATATATTTTTAGATCGCATTGGTTTTTTTTATCGTTCTCTTATTACAGTCAATTTTTCCAAGCTTACAATTATTATTATTAATTTAAATATAAATATTTATTTATAATTAATGTCCGTATAAATTTATAATTAATATTTAAGTATTACAGATTTAACTCAAATAAAAATATCTATAAATCGAGATTACAAAAAAAAACCAAGACCGTTTTTTATGCGTGAAAAAAATTCTTATCTTTATTTTACAAACAAAAAACTCATACCTGATAAAGTAATTTTTCATTACTTTCATCCAACAATAAATTCGTTTTCATGATAAACAATTTTAAGCTTTTATCTTAAAGTAAAACTTTTACACAATTAATGTAATTTTTCATTTTAATTACAAACTTTACTCCAATTGTAATGAATTTTTATGGAAAAAAATCCCAATTTATTGTAGCTGTAAGTTCAAAGTTATACTTTTTTTGTTAAGTTAAATTAAACGAAAAGTTAATATAAGAATTGTGCTAAAGTGTGGTAACTAGATAATTACTGAAAACTTACTGGAATAACCCGCAGTTGTTCTAGTTGTCCTTCTCTTTTCCTGTATATTTATATTTGCAATCGCTAACTTAACTCTTTTGCACAACGTTATAATTTTAATCTATGTTTCACGTTTTTATCGGTAGTTATTAACTAATACTTTAAAATAAACTATCATATTTTTTATTTTCAATGACTCACTGAAGAGAAAAATTAACTTAAATAAAGAAAAAAAAATTATGAACCAAGAAAATTATTTTGAAGAATTTCAGTGTCTTAAATCAAGACGAAAAATTTTTGAAAAAAGTAAAATTTACTTAATCTATGAAAAATTTTTTGTTTAAAAAATTACTACGAAGAAGTTCTAGAAAATGATTTTTTTTATTCAAGTTAAAATTTCTTACTGTGCACTTGAAATATTATCTGGTTAAAATTTGATGAATTTTTACGTCACATTTTCCCTTTCTATAGCTGCTTAATTATTTTTTAATTTTCTGTAAGTAATGACACCAATGATACAGATGTTAACAATCAATCAAACTGTCGAGCTATTTAATCGTGTCTACATGTTAATAAATAGTGACAATTTGTTTCAATATACGAATTATGGATCGTAATAAAAGATAAAAAAAAATTATTAAGTGGTTAAGCATTCGTGTACATCTAATAGATTTATAAATCAAAGGAAGGCATGAAGGCCACTTATAAATAATTATCAGATGTGTCACGTGCGAAAAAAAAATGCTGTTACTTAAAATTTTTATAAAAGTCAGGAAATTTATTTTTATTACTTTAAACTTTTTACCTAATAATTGGTAACAGTAATAATTATTTAAGATTGAAATTCCGAGATTATAATTATAATTAAGTTGTGAAATAAATTTAACAAGTTACTTATTATAATTAAAAAAATTCAGCGTAAATAAAAGTAAATTAATTACCTTTCCATTTTCATCTCTGTCGTCTTCGTAGTCTGAAAATAAAACTTAATTTTAATAAACAAAACAATTACTACTTCAAGGAATGACATTTATTACTGTACTGTACCGTATGTTTCTAAGCCTCTGCTCATAATTTTCACTGTTAAATCACCACAGAATCGTTTTGTTCAACAGTTACCGATACACTGCGTAATAAAACCATTGATACTAGAGAATGAATAACTTTAAAAATGTGTCGCAGCTTATCTTGAAATACTTTTCATCCATTTACTAAATTAATCATTTCACTTATCATTGCTGATAATTTTTAAATTGCAATTGTTAAATTATGTTAACAAATTTTATGTCATTTATAATTGCGGTAAAAGTAAAATATCTATGAAGAGTTCTTAAACTTGGAACAATATTTTGTAATAATGTCTGTTGAAATTAACGTTAGTGTTTTAAATGAAACTTGGCTTAATTCAAATATTTTTTTCCTAGAGATTTTCGATATTAAATTGTATTATTCGACTAAATAACGTATCATTATCAATTTAAATTCTTTTAGCTTTAGCTAAGTTTTCAAATTTATACAGATATTTAAAAAACAAAAATTTTTCTGTTTTACTTTTCCTATTTTTTTTTTTTTTTTTTTCTTTTCTTTTCATTTTCTCAAAATACAAGTGCATTAAAACATTGCTGTTTATACCTTTTCTTTTATATGTAATATAATCTTGTAAAAGGACGTTAAAGTTATAATTTATTATCTAGTGACCCTGTTATTGGCATGATATTAAAGTTAGCCGACATTTTTAATTTTTTGATTTTTTTTAAAAATTAAATTAGAACAAAAAAAATATTTTTAAAAAAATTGCTCTTACAGTTTTTAAAGTTTTTTACAAATGAAATTTTTTTTTTAGTTTTTTTGTAATCATTATTTCAATAAAAAAAAAATTATTCAAATTTTTAGATGTCGGCTAACTTAATTTTCATGTTATTGGCTATTGCTGTTGGGTCTTTATGTAAAGAAATAAATAAATAAAAGTATATTAAAAAAAATAAAAAATATAAATATCTGAAATAAAATTAAATTAAGAAAATTTATTAAAAAATTTTTGCGCTTATAAATTTTCCAAATTTTTAAATACTGCTTTTGTAATTATAAATTATTAGTTTAAAAAAAATTTCATGGTCAATGTTAAATTTACTAGGAAATTTAAATTTCGCGGTTTTTTTTTCAAATCAACTGCAGCGCACTCTAGTGGCGAAAATTAGAATTACACGCTTGAGAAAAAGATAATTCGGCACGATTCGGGATTATTGTGATACAATGGTCTTTGTCTAACACTTGACTCTTTTTTTTAACATTACTTATTTTATTTTTTGCTTCCAAAAGTGACACAAGTGCAGCTCTGAAGCTTGTTTCCAATGACCGATCAGTTTAATTATCAGTATCGAGGATATTTCTTGAAATTATAGCAAACAATAAAATCCAAAAGGTTCTACTGTACAAATGATAAAAATCTCAAGACAAAACAAAACAATAAAATCATAACAAATCTCGAAATATATGAAATATTTGGACGTACATGTAAAAGTAAGTTAAGTAACCAAGTGTGGTGGTTGTTAGATTTAAAACAAGTCATACGAGCACCAAATTTGGAGAAAGTCTAGTTCTTATTTCACATTTTTGTACGTCTTTCAGTTCCAGGTCATTCCAAGTACCAGGCTGGCTTGGTGTCCAAGGGTCCTTTGGTGGGAGAACGACGTCCAAGTAAGTCCAAGTAAAAAAAAAATTATCTCACATTTACCGGTACTTTGTCTCATGTCAAGTCTAAAAAGTTTAACTCGAGCTCGAGCGAGATGTATTATATTGGAGTTGATCAAATTCTATTCGTTTAATTGTAATGCACGGACAACTCTTTATCACTAACAGTAATAATAAATTTTGCTTTTCAGATAAAGTATTAAAAAAAATCTTAAAAATTAGCGATGAATGAAGATTCAGCGAATATGAGGGCTTTACATATCAGAGGCATTGGATTTTGCTGAAACGTGTGAGGCTAACCTCGAATAACATTATCTTTAGAAAATTTTTGTAATTCCAACCAGACGTTTCGTTAAAAGTTACGGATCTTAAGGAAAATGGGATTTGACGTTAATAGATTCCAAGGAGAAGTTGATGAAGAATTAATTTGTCCAATATGTTCCTGTGTACTTGAAGATCCTGTTCAGGTAAATTTTTTTTTTACTTAACTTTCATACTTGCGTTATTTTTTATTTTCGTTAACTTATTTATCATCTAAGTAAAATATACAATCATTGAACATAAAAGTATTGTGATAATAATTTTATGAGATTAAATAATCTTGATGGCAGTTCAATTTTATTATTCAAGAGCCAATAGATTTTGAATTTTAAATAGTAAGAATTAAAAATAAATATATGCTGAGTGAGCAGTCGGATAAATGAAGTGGGTTTATAAATAACTGACATAATTCAAATTTTCTTGTAATTATATCTTGATATAATTTTTCTAAAAAAAAATTCAATATTTACGCTTAAAAATTCTTTTAATTTAATATGAAAAAACTTGCTATTATTCGCCCGCTCCGCTAGGTGCTTTATAGAATTACATTTTTAGATCTAAGGGCCAGTTTTTCAATCCGAGATAAAATTTTATTCGAGATAAAAGTACCGCCATTATGATAAAAAAATAAATAATTCAGCACAGTGATATTGCCTACGAGTAATTCTCCTTGAAATCAATCACTTATTTTGAATTAAAATAAATAAACATTGGCCACATGTCACAGAAATATTCACCTCCAACTGTGACAACTTGCTGATTGTAAATAAATAAAATAAAAATTAGGAAAACGGATGACCCTGAAGGAGATCCCTGTAACTTCCCGCTAATTCCATACCTAAGCGCTTGAAATTGCACTTATAATGTTGTTTAGCTCTTCAAGCTCCAAATTAAAATTTATGTGTTATTTTGAGCTTTATGAGCTTAAAGAGGTAAACTGTTCTATGCTTTTGAGCCCATATCTTGCGTTTGACATATCTGTTATTAATTTATAATTATGTAAATTGATTTAAAATAATTCAAATGACACAATAAGAGGTTATTATTATTTTTATGATATAGTTATTTATTTTTATTTAAATAAACGAGCAAATTCATGGAGAATTAATTGAGAGAGCAATATCACGTCGCTGAATTATTTTTTTTTTTTTTTTTTTTTTTTTATTTTATTCGCGGTACTTTTATCTCGGATAAAATTTTATCCCGGATTGAAAAGCTGGCCCTAAGACTTGAAATTTAATTAGAGTATTGTTTTGACTTACACAGATTCACAATTATATCGAATTGGCATGCACTTTTTATCCATATAATTATTCTAGCTAATATTCATTGTAACTTTCAATGTACAATCATTATAACATTCCCGTGTCTTTTTTACAAAAATGAATAATAATTGATTTGAAAAAAAAAAAAATTTGTAATGAGCATTGAAAGTTCCAATTAAAGAAATTGCAAGCCTCATAAGTAAAGAAATCTGCCTAGTATATAAACATAACCAATAGAATTAAAAAATTTATTTTAAATAAATGACAATCGAATAGAATAAATTTAATTACAATAAAAATTGGTTCAGTAGTTTTCGCAGTATAACCGGACAAAAAAACCGGCTCTCCATTTATTAGTATAGATTTTCAGTTAAATAAACCAAAAAATAAATTTTTAATTCATTAAAATCATAATATTTGTTTAAATGTCAGTAAATATAAACAAATAAATAAGATATGCAGTATCTGAAGAGCGTTAGGTGAGTGATGTGTTGCAGGCAGCAGTATGTGAGCATGCATTTTGTCGTGTCTGCATAAACGAGTGGATAGGAAGGCAGCCAACGTGTCCGCTGGACAGGACACCAATAACACCAGCTCAGCTGAGACCAGTACCACGAATTCTGAGGAACCTCTTGGCGCGACTGTGTATCAATTGCGACAACATGGTATACGGGTGTCAGGCAGTAATAAAGCTGGACAGTTTAGTGACACATCTTGAAGAATGCGAGTTCAACCCCAAGAGACCTGTACCCTGTGAACAGGGTTGTAGCCTAATCGTGCCTAAAGACGAGCTCAAGAACCACAACTGCGTGCGTGAGCTGCGTAGCCTAATTCAATCCCAGCATCAGAAACTCAGCGACATGAAGCGTGAGTTGAGTGAACAGCAATTTCAGATGAACGAGCAGAGACGTGAGATAAATTTACTTAAGGATTTTATGCGAGCTATGAGAGTTTCTAATCCAGCTATGCGGGCTATTGCCGACCAAATGGAGCGAGATGAAGTTGTCAAATGGTCTGCTACTCTTCCACGTGCTCGGGTTACTAGATGGGGTGGTATGATATCTACTCCAGATGAACTTTTACAGGTAATTATTAAAAAAAAATCTGGAAATCGGTTGACCGCGCAGGCCAACCCTAGAACTTCCCGCTAAGTTTGAATTTAAAGCACCTTAAAATGTGTTTTTTGGTTAATATTTGAGCTTTTCAAACTCAAAGCACAGGTTTTCACATTTTGAGCTCTTTGAGTTCAAAATGTATTTATTAAGCAATTATAACTTTTAAATGCGTCGTTCGATTTTTTTTTTTTAAGCATTCGACGCAGTTTTTTAAGCATAAAAAGAAAATGTACTGGTTTACATTGATTGGTTGAGAAATCTCGAAGATATCTTAAAGAAATACGGAAAAACACAATTTTGACAATTTTGTGAATTTATCAACAATTATAACTTGTGAATGCGTCGTTCGATTTTCATTTTTGAAAATGCATTTGACACAGTTTTTTAAGCACAAAAAATATATACATCCCAAGCGTCGCATAAAAAACTGTTGACTTTTTGGTAAATTTTATTTAACAACAAGTCAGAAATTAATAATTCGGCTGCCCAATTTTAAAACACAGTAAGTGCAAAATTTTTATACCTGATTTTTTCTAGTATTGCTGCATTTTTTTATAACTTTTAGACCTTAATTTCAAGTATTTTGTTTTTTTTTTTAATATTTATATTCAAATATTTTCTATTCACAAATCAAATTTTTCATCAATTTGGCGGGCAAATTTTTTTTTAATAAGAAAAATTGAAAAAAATTTTTAAATGTTAGTTACTGTGTTTTGAAATTGGGCAGCCGAATTGTCAACTTAAATTCAACAAAGTATTACCAAAAAAATTTTTGTGCCGCTTGGGATGGTTTTATTATGATTTTTCCGCGCGCTTTAAAGTTATTTTAAAAAAGTATAAAAATTCAAATTTTTTTTCTGGTTTTTTTTTTTTAATTTCTTCGGAATGGCTCGATGGATTAACTCTCAAATTTAATCAAATCTAAGTTTTGATAAACCCTTTCGAATGATGTTTCGTAGAATTCAATTGGTTGATTCGTTTTTGAGAACTCAGCGGGAATGGTCAGAATGGCTTCCTGAGACCTCAAAACGTGGAGATCCGATGAAAACTTGACTTTCGAAAATCGGACTGAAATCAATAACTTCCCTTTATTGAAAAATATTCAATTTTCTTAGCGGGAAGTTAAAAATAATTCTTATCATGATTTGTTAGAGAAGTTTTTTTTTAATTGAGTATCTGAGTTTTATTTTTTAGTGTTTGAATTTTTACGAGTTTCTCTGTTTTACTTTGAAAGATTTTTTTGAACCTCAATGAGTGTCTAAGTATATCTAAATTAAAATTTTTGGATTTTTATTAATTAATAAATAATTATTTGCAGACAATGATCAAAAGAACGTTATCAGAGTACAACTGTCCGCCACATGTAATTGACGAGCTGATGGAAAATTGTCACGAGCGAAAGTGGCCACCAGGCTTAAGCTCTTTGGAAACGCGACAAAATTCCAGACGTCAGTACGAGAATTATGTCTGCAAGCGGGTGCCGGGTAAACAAGCCGTACTAGTACTTTATTGTGACAACACGCACATGCCAGAGGATATGATGGTTGAGCCAGGATTAGTTATGATTTTTGCTCACGGCATCGAGTAAAAATTAATTAATTTAATAGTTAATATAAACAAAGACATTTTTCCAAGTGAATTAAAAAAATTTAATATAAGAGTCATTATCATAAGGCAACTGTAAATTGTTTGATTACACAAAGCGATATTTTATAATCATTCAATTTAGTTTTTTAACTTATTATTTAGTAATAATCTCGTACTATCGGCAGTTAATTAAACCATTTTTATTTTTGAGTAATTTAGAATTTTAAATTAGTTACAAAGACTGGCGCGCAAAAATACGATACTAATATTAAATATTTACTTTTGATCTCTTATTTACAAGTTAATATACATATATTAAGATTTTTAATAGTTACTTTTCTTGACTTTTTTTTTTCTATTATAAATATTCCAAATGAACAATATAGACTATAATATTATTAAAAAATAAAATCAATCAGTAACAAAATAAATGAATGGTGAAAGACAGAGTCGTGCGAGTTTGTCGCAAACCGAAAAACTGTGATAACACTTTACACCATTTTATATAAAAATCATAATTTCTCAACTAATTTTGATTAAGAGACTAATTAAATGACAGCGTACATAAATATACAGTTAATGAATATTAACGATATAAATTTTAAATTATTCTACAAACATCACTCCAGATTTTACACTTTTTCAAAGCCGTATGGTAATTTTTATTAAAAGTAAATATAAATTAAAATTTAATAAGTTATTTAATTAATTGCTATGTGATATTTTACGAAAGTACATAAATAAAAGTTAGATAAATATATTTTTTATTTTTATTTGAAAAAGTGTAACGTTTTTAATAATCAATTTAATTATATTATTATATATACTATGTCAAACAATTATTTTGAATTGAGTGATATGCGCACCATGTCTGATACAATAAATAGAAAATAATTAATTGATAATACTTATCAATAGATAAATAATAAATTTTTTTAACAAGTAAACATTAATATTACACGTGTTCCAATGTTTTTTATTTAATGGGATCCGTTAATATGCTTTGCTTATTATTTTTTGTAATTATTTCAATAAAAAATACAAAAATTCAATTAATTATCTATCCAACAATTTAATTAAGCAACTTATATTAATAAATAACTGCACATATTTATTTTTTAATAATAATTATTTTATTTTTCAGACTAACAACATTAGTAAAAAATTATTTTTATTGACTTGCAAAAAATCTTATTTTAATTTTAATATATTTTTGGCTTTTGTAAATTAAATAATTGGACATATACCAGTTGTTACATGTCCAAAGGCACGCTCTGGATCTAAAGTAATTTCATTTGAATTAATAATTATATTTTTAATACACCCGACGTATTGCGACTGAGATACGCTGCCCTTTAAAGGTTTTCCGAGCTGAGGATGCCCGCCAATAAATACTGGATGTTTCGTAGCAACATTAGCGGGATTTTTGTTTGCTGTACTCGGTAGAACCGCTCTCTGATCTGCGTGATCTACTGATAGTAGTACTGCATTTTTGTGCTTGACAGCTAAAACAGAAAATAATAATTAATTATTTAAATTAAAATTGCAATTTCATCTTTTATTAAGGGGTTAGGGGCAGTCAGAATTTTCAAAAAATCGATTTTTTTTTTTTACATTTTCTTTAAGTATAATACAGTGGACTTTCGATAACTTGAAAAGTTCAAAATTTGCAAGTAGACCAAAAAAATTAAAGAAAACACTTGATTTGCAAGAAAATAACTTAGAGAGAAAATATACATTATAAACAAGTATAAGGTAAAAGACCCCATTATAGTGGCACTTTTTTTTTAATGAAAAATTGTTCTACTTGGATCTAAAGGTCTTAAAGATTAGGAATAGTATATTCATTATTAAAATTAATGATTTCATTAATTGAATAAGCACCAAAATCAAAGAAAGTGTCAGAATAGGGTCCCCGCCACTAATGGGATCTTTTAACCTACCCTAGCGGTTTCGGTGCCACCGATAGAACTCTGTAGAAACTCGTCCGAAACTCAGCGTAACGACGGAGTATAGTCGGCGTATATGGGGAGTAAACTCGGAGTATTGTGTGCAGTTGTGACACATGAAGACGATAGGGGTTAATTGGTGTTTAATGGAGATCGTTACAGGGTTTGGTTGAAATTTTGCTGGTGTTCTCATGAAGTTTTCCCCGAGTTTTATCAGTGTTTTTTCGGATTTTCTGTCGAGTTTAGTCGGCGTCATCACCGAGTTTTTTTGGAGCTTTCCAAGAGTATTTTGCGAGTTTCATCGGAGTTTTCTGATGGATAAAGAATAAAAAACCGAAAAAAATAATTCGAACAGACCGGGACTCGAACCCGCGCCGAATTTCATTACAAGTCAAAGACTCAACCGGTCAAGCTATCTGAGACATTGTCCGTACTTATTATTCAGTCACCTAATAAGACCCGCAGTAATAAACAACACTGTCTATCTTACGGAAACCGATTAAAGTTTTGAATCACTTTATGTATTGATAAAATTTTAATTTAAATTATGATAATATTGTTTCAGTGGATCAACTGTAAACTTTTGACAATTTTTTTATGATGTCACTTTTTTTATGTATCGTATATTTTACTTATAAACTTCATAATTTATTTATTGAATAACATATTCTATGTAGATAAATATATTTAAACTTGTAAATAAATAAATAAATTGATAAAAACTACACCGTAATTGAAAAATGATTTATTTATAGTCATCTTTGTGAAATCAAATTTAATTTTTATGCCATGAAGTATTATTAATCGCGAGTAAACTCCATAAGAACACTACCAAAACTCCGAAAAAACACCAGCGAAACTCTTATAAAGCTCCGCAAAACATCGAAAAAAACTCGACAAAAACTACCTAGCTACTCTGAAAATACTCAACAAAAACTCGATGAAAACGCCAAAAAAAACTCCACTGCAACTCCGCAAATATCCAACAAAAATGCGAGGTAAACTCCATAGCGACTCCGAAAAAACTCGTCGAAAACTTCTCGAAAACTCTAATAATACACTTTTGTGACTCCGTGTCGTAACTGCACACGATAATCCCATACACCTCTAAAACTCCGCGTAAACTCCGCTTATACCCCGATTAAACTCCGAGAGGGCGTATACTCCATAGTAACTCCGCGTAAACTCCGAGTTTACGCTGAGTCGTTGAAACCGCTAGGGTATAAGAAGAATTGAAAATTCCTATAGGAATTTCGATTAGATTGCTATAAACTTAGACATTTCGGAGAAAAACGTCTTTATATTTTACTAACTCGGACTTATAGAGTTTCACTTTTAAAATTCGAATTATAGAGTATAAATATCCTTTATCGATACTGGAAGGGAAACGATACTAAGTTCGAGTTACAGAGTCTAAAAAATTCGAGATATCGCGTATTTAAGAGTTCAGCGGAAAGGAATTACAAATTTTTTTCGAGTTATTACTGAGGATTTCGACTTAAAAAGGTTCGAGTTACCGAGAATCCACTGTATCTTAAAAATATTCTCTGAAAAATTAAAATGAATCCAACAAATACTTTTCGAGTTATTCGACAAATAACAAAGGGCGCTCAGGCACTCCAGAACGCTAGAGAGCGGTAGTTCTCGAGAGTGTGAAACTCTAAATGCGTTTTTCTCAAAACTATATTTTCTGAACTATCGATCACTGTAACTCGAAAACCGCTTGTTAGATTTCAATGAAATTTATACAGCTTTTGAAAAATATAAAAAACTAGTGTCTGATCGAAGGTTTTTTTTTTTAATTTTAATTTTTTATAAACAATTAACTGTTGGTTTTTTCTCGAAAATCAAGAGAAAAATTTCCTGAGGCCACCATTTTGTTAATTTAAAAAAAAAAAAAGCTTCGATCAGACACTAGATTATCTATCAACATAACTATTTTTTTCTGTCCGATTGATTTTCGATGAATCTCCAAGGATTTATGATGATCACCACAAGGACCTTTTGTAAGAACTGAGTCAACAAAAACAGCCATAACTTTTGAAATTATCAATTTTTTTTTTCAAATTTTCGTGGTCAAGTCAAAACATCGTGTAATGATGCCATATTATTACTTTTATAAAGTAAAATGATTTACTGGGAAAAAAAATTATTGAAAATTCTGATTTTTCCATGTCTCTGACTACCCATAACCCCTCAAGAAAGAAGAAATATATAAAATAAAAAAAGTCACCTCTAATGATGTGCCAATTGCCATCACACAATGAATTAGGCATTTTTGGTTCAAAGGAAGTCTCAATTAGACCCTTCGTTGTCCTCATGAGGAATCTAATGGTACCATTAACCATTTCTAGTAACAAGAAATGACGATTTCCGTGTACGGATAACAGATGTCCAGATGCCGATCTCGGCTTTATATCCATTTGAATATCAACACTACGCCCGACATTAAATTTATCCACTGTAAAATTAAAAAATTATTAATTAATAACTCTAAAAATCTAAAATAAAAAATTAATAATAATTTTCATTTATTTTTTCGTCTAGATAATTAACATACTCGCACGGAATAAATTGCTGCCATTTCCTGGATAGAAGAATATGCCAGACTCGACCCGATTCGAACACGGAATTACGCCGACAGTTTCTTCAGGTTTACCAACTGGCTGGCCATTCATCTCAAAGTTCCTGAGACATCCATTGAATGTCTTATTAGTTCCCTAAAAAGTAAAAAAAAATTTTTTTTCATCAAGTAAAAATTAAACAACTATCTATTTAAGGGGGTATTCTAGTCTAGAAACATGAATTTCAGGTAATTTTTTGAAGTGTCGTAAAAAAAAAGGCAATCAATATTTTTACAATCCATTTTTTATAAGTTATTTATTAAGATTACAAGAATACAGAAAAAAATAAAAAAAGTTGAAAATTCAAAAAATTAGCAGCTGATAAAGTGGGGGGGGGGGGTCCCAAAAAATTGGCACGTGACCATGCCCACGATTCCAACCCTCCTAGCAATCGGAAATAAAAAAGATTATTAATCTAGAGTAATGTCGCTATGGCATGAACTACGGTCATCCCCAAATTTCAATTTTTACTATTTTTTTTTTCAGGCAGTCGCGATTTTGTGAAAAAAATTTTTTTTAACTTTTTCCTAATTCATGCCATAGCGCTTCATCAGCTGCTAATTTTTTGAATTTTCAACTTTTTTTATTTTTTTCTGTATTCTTGTAATGTTAATAAATAACTTATAAAAAAATGGATGGTAAAAATATTGATTGCCTTTTTTTTTAGGGCACTTCAAAACATTACCTGAAATTCATGTTTCTAGACTAGAATACCCCCTTAACTAATTAAAATCTTACAATATTAGCCAGAACATTGGCAGACAATTCAGGCAGTATTCCACCAACATAGAACGGCGGATTGACATCCATAGTAACAGCACCACCTTGCGAGTAATCAGCTACTGGTATGTTTTTATCGACAATAAGCTCGCCGAAATTACCACTTCTTTTGAAGTTGATAGTATGCCACTGATTGTCATTAATTTTAATCTCACTCTTGAGCCAAGCGGGCCCGGTACCGCAATCAAACGAGTAGTGAACTCTACCACCTTGAATATAAACCGCAATGAAGTGGTTCTTAGTCAGCGCGGAGCTGTAGAAAATAACTCCTTCATCTGCGGCGGTCTTAAGATCGATCTGAAGATCATAATCATTCTTGTACCTGCCATTCAGCGAGCCATATTCGAGCCTACTGTACCTAGCAGTTCCGAACCTCCAGCCACTCTCGCTCTCAAGATCTCTTACAGGCATGTACGGCAGCTTGCAAGAGTCAACCGTGTAAGGTGGAGCCTGAGTCGTCGGGTCAACCACTTCATTCTCAGGCGTTCTTGGTTCCTCTGGTTCCTCCGGTTCTTCAGTGAACATAGGCGCTTCAGTCAACGGAGGGAAGGTGACTCTTCCCTCGCTGTTAACATGATCTGGTTCTATAGTATCCACCTCTACGTCAATAATGTTGCTGTTGGTTGACATCATTGTTATTGTTTCCGGCAATCCAGTGACGATCGGAGGCGGCCAGGCGCCAATGTCACTCTCAGTCGGCGTATGCGCAGGAGTGTCACCACCCTGACACCTACCGAGCAGCGCGTTCGGCCGTTCCTTTGTGTTCGCAAAGTTTATGATCTCTCCGTTGAGTGTCGCATCACCAATGCACCCTACAAACGTACCTCCCGCATTGGGTAATCCTCCGATGTACAAATTACCCTTTTGAATATTCAAAGGAGGTGGTGGGTACTCTGTTACGAAATTATCTACATCATCAATGTCTATTCTCAGGGCGTTTTCATCATGCGTAGCAGTGACAACATGCCACTCGTTGTCGTTGAATTTACTGCCAGCTGTGCTACTTCTTACCTCCTCACCTTGACTCTTGAACACCAAGACTCCGTCTTCAATCGAAAGCGTGCTGCTCGCCGTCTGCTCGGGGTCGGTCACGTAGAAAATGAGACCATTGTCAGCAGTGGTCTTGAACTTGAGATTAACTTGCAGCATCGAGTCTGCTGTGACGTTCTGCCATTTCACATAACCAGATGAGTCATTTTCAAAAGACACTAAGCTTGCGAACCGTACAGGACATCCAGGCATGACACCGAACGCCTGAGAATTCCTGCTGAGGTCTACTGAGGTGTCCAGAATGACAACTTCATCAATACAGCCCTCAAAACCGACATTAGACACAGATTTATACGAGTGTCGTATATTTGGCGGATATCCTCCGACATAAATATGATCATTAGCTCCCAGGTTCTTTCCGCTGCCCTGTAGGTCGTTTTTAGCTACCATAATACCGTCGATCTCCATCAACCCGATTCCTCCGAGTCTGCGAGCCTCTAGAGAGTGCCATTGTCCGTCGTTGTACTTTTGCTGGGACATCAAAGACACTGGGCCGTCACCCAAGTCAAATTGATACAACACTTGCCCGTTTTTCATCTCCAGAGCGAGGAAATGCTTGCTCTTGCCCATCAGATACATCAGACCGTCTTCCGCGAAGGTCTTGAAGCTCATTTTCAAGCTGAATTTCGAAGGATCGTGGCGTATCTGCGAGGTCTTCATACTCAGGACTGCGAATCCATTCCTATCGAATCTCAACCCCGTGCTGGGAGTGAAGTCTATAAGTTTGTCACGTTCCATAGCGCCCTCGCGGTTATTTTCGCCCTTTATGAAGTTCCAGAAAGACACAGGAATGTCTCCAATGACCAGATCCTCCATTTGTCCTTCAAAGGAAGAGGCAGTCACAGCATCTGGGGTCTGGAAGGACGTTGGGTAGCCACCGACAAACAGTTTTGAGTGATCTTGGTCTAAATTGAATATCGAGTAAGTACCAGGAACAACTTGTTCCTCAGTAGTAGAGTCGTCTTTTCCTTCGCCGATGTCCTCGCGGACGATTAGCTTCACGTTCTTGCCCGTTCTGTCAACAATTATCTGTCGCCATACATTGTCTGATACGTATTTCTTGTTGATGATTTTAACCGGACCGGAACCCAAGTCAATGATCAGTACCGGATACCCACCTTCGATCATCAGAGCCAAAAAATCGTGGGTCTTTTGTCGCGTTACCTTTCCTCTGTCCTCGTTTCCGAGGTACAATAAGAATCCGTTTGCCTTATCGGTTCTAAAGTAGAGAGATAATTTAGTAGACGTTGCTAGTAGCGGCAAACTCTCAGGGTTCTTTAGTTGAAGAGTTGTGTTCCGATAGAAGGTTACACCGATTTTAAATCTATCCGCGAGTTCTCGCGCATTTGAGATTCTTCTTTTCAAAGCTTCTATTTTATCTTTCAGATCGCTGCCCACCACGTCGATGTTCTTCTGAGTCTCTCCCAACTTGCTCAGCAAGTTCGCCATGTCGGGAAGAACTTTACTGACTGAATCCAGCTGCTTCTTCGCCTGGGAAACGTCGCGGATTGAATCAGTTGTGTCTTTGGTCAAATTCTTAGAATCTTTAAGATCATTGGGAATTTTATTAACGACACCACTCATACGATCCATCGCATTGTTGATCATTTGCTCAATCTCATTGGCCTCTTCGGTGACGTCGTCAGTCGGTGAACCAAAACTCAGCGCCAGTTGATTCAAGGTGTTGTTGATGCGATCCAAAGCCTCTGTGTTCTTTTTGTTCTGCTTGGCGAGATTGTTGTTGAACTGCTGAGCTTGGTCCAAGTCAGCTTCGAGTTTTTGCTCAGTGGCTGTCAGCGCGGATTCCGCGAGTGACATCAACTCCGAGGACCGATCGAGAGTCTCGAGAGTTTTTGTGTCCACACCATTCGAAAGCGTTGTTGCGTTGTTTGCGGCTTGTAAAGCTTCGTAAGCTGCTTCACGTGCTTCCTGAATTGCACGCTCGATATCGCGGTAAGCTGACACTGCTCTTACTGCACTTGTGTTACGGGTAACTGATAAACTGTCGTCTAATTGAACTGATAGCTCGTAGAGATTCTCTGCATGCTCATCTGCTCTTCCGACCAGGTCTATTATGTCTAATAAGTCATTGTCATTTTGAGTCAATGTGTTGTTTAGTTGGAAGTACGCTTTTTCATTTCTTGACACTAATTCTTCTGTGAAAATTTAAGAATTTATTTGTTAGTTAGTTGGGTAATAAATAATATATAATAAAAATATGTTAGTTTATTATTTTTTAAAAAATAGCTTCAAAGATTACCTTGATAGAAAATTCTTTAGCAGTTCTTTAAGATTTTTTTTTAATTTTGAGAATCGTTAAAAATTGAAATTTTTTTTCTCTTTATTCTAATATTTTTTACGCTGTTAAAATTGATTTCATAATTACAGGATAAACAAAATAGAATTTTCATAATTTGATACTTGAATTGTGATTTCAAAATAAAATTGAAATTTAATACAGGCATTAGAATATTCAAATTAGTATTAGAAATTAAGAATAAATAACTATAAATTCTAACTGCTATATTCAAACTTTGTATCGATTTTTAAAATTTTCAAAGTAATAATTAAAAATTCAAAAAATTTTTTTAACAATACAAGCTAAAAATGATTTACATTCTCAAAATTCTAAATCGAAATTTTTATTTATTATTATTATTTTTCTGATTTTTATTAATGTCTCGTATTAAAACTCAAGTTCGTATTAAAATTTAATATTCATGTTCAGAAGCTGGAAGTAAAAAAGCTTAAAAAATCTTAAGCTTTCCCGTAAAATTTTATTATTGATCTGATTTAAAAAAAGGTATATTAAAACATGATAAACTAACATATTTTCATGCAAGAAAAAAAATAGTCATTTTTTTTGCGCTACTCTACTAAATAAAAATAAATAAATATTAATAAACATACTTAGACTTGAAAAATTAATATCAGCTTCATTCAAATAACTAGTAGCATTTCTATTCAAAGTTTCTCCTGTCGCAATATCATCTTGGCTCTCAGTAGTAGCATTCTTCAACAAATCAAAGTTACCAAATTCCTTGGACCTCTTGTTGTCATCAATCAATTTCTCAGCTGCGTAAGTAAATTCCTCAGCTTTGTCAATAATAACATAAAAGTCATCAACTTTTCTACTAAAGTTTTGAATTTTTTCCCCTAGTTTTCCAGCAGCGGAGGTCAAATTACTAACCGGGAAGTTGTACTCAGTCATATCAGACACCAGACCATTAGCCTGATCAGCCTGGTCAATCGCTTTGTCTCTGAAGTTGACAAAAGATACATTTTTAATCTTATTCAAAATTTCATTAGCTTCCTTGAGCGCGCTGTCAACTTTAGCAGCCGCGCCTTGGCCGATGTTAGTCGCCAGAGACTGTACTTCAGAAATAATCGAGTTGACCGAGTCTATCTCCTTCCTAACATCAGTTTCCAAATTGTTTATATCAACAAGCGTTTTCTCAGCGCCATCCTTCCACGTCAAGCTGTCATCAACGATATACTCAACCTGGCGCTTCTGGGAGGCCGCTTCTTGTTCGAGTTTCGCAATATCCTGTTGTAGAGGAACGAAATCAATGCGACTTGAATCTAGCAGCTGGACATCAGGGTACAATTCGTTGACGCTGTCATTCACAAACTTGAGACGTTGGTTGGTGAAGTAGCTCTCGGCGACGGTGTTGAACTCTTGAGCTACCGGAGAAAGATCATTCTCGAGTCGATCGGTGACGTCCAAAAGATCATCGATGCAAGAGTCGCATTCGTAGCAGCCGTCACCTTCTTTTAGAACCCACCGGTGAGGACAGTGGTCACATTTTTCTCCAATAACTCCAGGCAAACAGGAACACTGACCAGTTGTTGTGTTACAAGAAGCTCCAATCGAGTACCCGGTGTTACAGTTGCAAGAAGTGCACCCTTCTGGTCCATAGTTCCAGAAACCAGCGATACAGCGGTCGCATCTACGACCAGTGACACCGGGCTTGCATTTACATTGGCCTGAAGTGAGGTCGCACTGAGCGTAATCTGAAGCGACGTCGCAATCACAGGCTTGACAACCGTTACAAGAGTCAAATCCAAAGTGGTTTTCTGCGCAGCGGTCACATCTAGAACCAATTACGTTAGGTCGACATTGACAGAGTCCGTTGTAGCTGTCACAGCGTTCCATTCCGCAAGCCTCGCAGTTACATGTCTGACAGTCTTTACGCTCAACAGCGTCTCCGAAGAACCCGGGAGCACAGAGATTGCAGGCCTCGCCGTAGGTGTTGTTCAAACAGTGAAGACACTCACCAGTTATAGAGTCGCAGGAACTTAAGTCGTTGGTGTCTATGTTCCCGGAACACTCACACGGTTTGCAGAATTCACCCTCGATGTTAGGGTCGCCGTAGAATCCTGCTGCGCAAGATTCACACCGGGCTCCGTAGTAACCAGGAAGACAGTCACAGCTGATTTTATTCCCTGCTTCGTTTACTTCGCAACCTGTCGCGAAGTTGTTGGAGGCGAGAGGTAGAGGACAGGCGCAGATTAGACAGTCAGTTGGGGTTCCAATTGTTGCGTTTCCGTAGTATCCTCTTTCACAGTATTCACAATGGTCGCCGGTTGTTCCGTTTCTACAATCCTGTAAAAAATGGAATTTTTTTTTTTTTATTTAACTAATCAAAGGTTCTTTTATTTTGAATTTACTGTAGTGATTAATTTTGGATAATTGTTATTTTAAAATTATTACTAGAATTTATAAAAAAAAAAAAAGTATTAAAATCCAGTGATTTTGATCTTTTTAGCTTTAGTCAAAATTTTAAAAAAATTTTGACTTGAATAATGAAATAAATTATGTGAGAATGTAAAGTATTATATACTTTTAATAATTGATAGCAATTGAAAATTTATCAAGTGCAATAGTTAGAAAAAAAAAATTTTCTTAAGATTATTGAAGACACTGTTAAAGTTATTTTTCATTTGTAGTCTAAGACCGTTGTGTAAAAAAATAATGATTGAAAAAATTGAAACTTTGTTAAAATTTAAATAATTACTGTGGTAATAATCTATATTATTAAGAGAATAAGAAAAATTTTGTGGCCAGTGTATTTATATGATAAAATGGATTTTTATGGTTAAATTTGGTATCATTAGAAAGGTCTTGACCTGGAGTTATGCCATTTCAAGGTTTCATATCATTCTCACCAATAGTCAATTTACTATGATAAGTATTTAGGCTGCATTCGAAAATGCTCTATCTCCTAGATACATAATTAAGAAATGACCCTGTATCCTGTGAATTATTGACATTTTTAAAGATATAAGCTCATCCCGATGTTACACTCATCGAGACCTTTCATTTGAGTACCCACATCAATTTTTCAATTATTTATATATATTATATACAATGTATAAATGAAAAATATATCAAAATGCATGTGGGTACTCAAAGGAAAGCTCTTGATAAGTGTAACATCGGGATGAGCTTATATCTTTAAAAATCTCAATATTCAAGGAAGTATAGTGCAATTTAACATTATTTAATAAAGCAAAATTTTATTTATTTATAGTTCATAAGTCCCGGCAGTCACATGGTGACTGCAAGGTTGCTAGTTAATATAAATTTTGTCTATTTTCATTGAATATTTTTGAAAATTTCTAATTTTTAAGGAAGTTTTTTCTTTTTTCATCTGAAGAGATAAGTTGCTTGCTATTCAAGCATCAAAAACTGGACCACAGTGAAAATAAGAAATTGCAAACTGAGTATTAACAAGAGTCAAAACGTCAATTTTTTAAACCAATCTATTAATATTATCTATCAATCATCTTAAACTTCTAGATTAAATTATTGTTTTTTAAAATTTCAGTTTTCTAATAACTACTTGAATTTAACAACCGCTTACGTTTAAAACTTAACCTTTTTTAAATACAATAAAAAAAGAACTTACATAACAGATTCCAGTTTTAACATCGCAAGTATCAGCGTGCCCATTGCACTGGCAGCGAACACAAGACCCACCATAAGGTCCCGACTCAACCCGATAGTACCCTGGAGCACATTCTTCACAAGATAGACCTTGATAATTGGGCGGACATTGACACTGCTCAACACTACTCGCCTGCTCGCTTCCAGGCACATATGTATCCGTAGTGGTATCCATCGATACTTGGGACAAAGTCATGGCAATACTTGGCTCCCAGTAAGTACCTCTTATAAATATACCCTTCAAATTTTCCAGCGTCACTAACATCTGCTCTCTCGTCGCTTCGACATTTCCTTGCGTGATGAAATTAGACTCTACCAGCGCTACCGAGGCGTCAAAGTTTGCAAATGATGGTGGCTGTTCCTCGGCATAGTGGTACAAAACATTGTCACTGCCCATCAGAATGACATCAGGTCCCGCAACAGCTTTTCCAAACGGACCCGTACTGTAATACACAGTGTAATTCAACGTTCCACCATACGAAGTCAATTTCTTCCCTAGATAATTACCCGGAGCCGAAAAGTACACTGTATTACCAGCAGTTTCATTGTTGTTAGTTAAAGTAACGATAATCGAGGTCTCATTGTACTCTTGAGGAATTGTCGACAGGATATTAACCACCCCCGTCTTTTCTTGGATCACCGCCACGTCCCAGTCAATCATATTGTACTCGTAAGCCCTGTAAAGATTAGCGGAATCACATCTGGTGGTCTTTCCAAAGCAGAAACACTTGCTGCATCCTTGATCATTCTCAGCTTGCAAGTTGAATGTTCCTTCTTTACAAATATCGCACGCAGAGCCCTGGACATTCGCCTTGCAGTAACATTCCGCAGTGTACTGGTCGCAAATTTCAGCAGTGGTTCCTTTAAAATCACAGTCACAAGCTTCACAGTATGGAAACTGGGCATACCCGTTCTGACATTTGTCACACTGACGTCCCACGACATTTTCTTTACATTTGCAAGTTCCATTCAGCAAATCACACTGCCTATCTCCATTGAGAACTCCCGCAGGCGAGCAATTGCACTCTTCACACCCAATAATCGGATGGAATCCATAAGAGCCTTCTTCACACTGATCACACCTCTCTCCAATTACTCTTGATGGACAGATACACTCTCCTCTCTCTGGTTCGCAAATCGCAGTAATCGGACAATTACACGGTCTGCAGTTCGGATACCCGTAGAATCCCGTCTTGCAAATTTCGCAGCGTCTTCCAATGATGTTAGGCTTGCAAGGACACTGTCCACCAAATTTGTCGCATTCGAAGCTCGTTGTTCCGTGGGCACTGCAGTGACAAGGCAGCGCTCCGTTATTGTAATTCGCAGTCAGCGAAAATATTGAATCTCGACAGAAACCATCATCTATTGTGTTTATGTGGAAGTGATTATTTCCACACCTTTTTATAAACTCCTTAGTCTGGTCAAACTGAATCTTCTTCAGGACTTTATCATCGTACTGCTCTGCTGGTATTATCAGCAAATAATCAAGCCATGTACCATATCCTGGATTTTTAAAACTTATTACAACGTTTTCTATCAACTGAAACTTGAAGTTACCATCCTGCTGCTTGATAATACTACGACACCCGCTGTTACTCGGACAATGCGGTACAGCAACTTTTGACTCGTAAAATTTACCATTCTGAACAAGAACTTCCAGCTCAAATTCCGGATTATCAGGTTGGTAGTACTGGATAACAAACACGTACTCCCCAGGCGCGAGAACTTTAGTTCTGATGTCAATCAGAGGGTTGTTCTGGTCCAAGTAAATAAGCTTAGTCGCATTATCGAAAATTCCTGGTGGACGATTATCGATTTCTAGATCTTCAACATTCGCTTCAAATTCGACTTTCTTCGCATCAGCGCCTCCGGGGAATATCCCTTGGACGCACTTTCCATTCTTCCTCACGCAGACTGACTTGGGCTTTATGTAGTCCAGCGACCATCGCTCATAAGGAATAGCAACCACTGACTCAACGGCAATATTCGAGTTCGGTTCACCAGTTAGCACCAAAGTAGCATAATTATTAGCGAAATTGGTGACTCCTATTTTTCCGTGTCTGTCCGTGACGACTTGACGGCAAATGCTGGTGTATTTGCAAGGATGGATGGTGGCCTTACCCTGGGGGCTTCCGTTTACTTCAATGAGCAGCGTCGAGGTTGAAGTGTCTTTTCGCGCTGTGACGTAAGTCACCAGGAGAATGTACGATCCAGGTTTGGAGACACGGAATTCAAAGAGGATTCGCTTCTGCTGCTCGTTGATCAGAGGAATTTCGTCCTGGTTGATCTCGTTGAGGACGTCGTGGTCTGTGAAATATTCAGTGAGAGGAAATCTTCCCGATTCGGTGTCCAAGAAGCCTCCGGAGCCACGGACTGAGTCGAAGTAGTTGAGGTTCGGGTAGTCGTAGTGACGACAGAGACTCTTCTGGCCGACTTCGCAGGGCAGATCGACATCTTGGGTTAAAATTGTAGCTTCGTAGTACTCGGCAGGTAAAAGTACGAAGTAATCAAGGAACAAGTTCTTCTCTGTAGCGATGGATATTGACCAGTACCCAGGATTCATCACCATAGTCGCGGGCAAGTTTCCATGAACACCAGCGACAGTGACAAATGCTGGATCGTTAGTCGGCTTCAGCTGGACTTTGAAGGTCTGTTCAATTTCTTGAGGATTGTCTGGTGTGATTTTTATGGTTCCTAACACGGGTTCGGAATTTTTGTTTACGAATCTTAGAACCATGCGGTACAAAGAAGGCTTAGAGATGTAAACACGCTGGATTATTTCATTCTGAAGGGCTGAAAATACAGCGTATCCTTTCCAACTGTACCCGGGGAAGGCGTCTTCGGTGAAACCGTATCTTACGGGACTGTTGCTGGGCGTTCGGCCATCCTCGACTTCATACTGGAATTGGTGGAGTGTTGGGAAGTAGTGAGCTTTCAAAGGTTCTGTACAAGTTTGACCGGTGACTCGTGGCTGGCAAGGACATTGTCCGGTTCTCTTGTCACAAATTGAACTTATGGATCCACCAATGTCGCAAGCGCAAACTGAAAAATTTTCAGATTAGTAATGATGATATTGATAATATTTGTTACTTTATGAATCTAATTAATTTTTTATTTTTTAGGTGAAAATGAATAGATTAAACTTACCAGAACATCCAAAGAGATTCGAATCGTCCAAATTGTAAGTCCCGTCAACACATAGGTTACACGCGCGGCTTGTCACGCCTGGCTTGCAAATACATTGACCAGATTTCGTGTCACATTCACCAATACCTCCAATAACACCAGGAACGTTACACTTGCAGTCTAAAAATTAAACAAGTTGATTGATAAATTTGATCACTATAATGGTAAAACAAATCTTGAAAAAATAAAATACCTTCGCATCCATCAGGATTGGCTTGTTGCAGGTTCCAGAAGAGTGGCTTGCACTGATTACAAATTCTTCCTTGGACCCGGTCTTTGCACTGACACAACTCGCCGGCTGGCAATGACCCACATCCTGTGAAAGACTTAGGAACACCAGCGGGATCACAATTACATCCCTCGCATCGTGGGAAATTGTAGAAGCCTTCTTTACATTGGTCACATTGCAATCCGTCAAAGTTCTCGTTACACTGACATTTGCCTTCAGAGTTACAAGATACTCCAATGGATCCATGGCTATCGCAATTACAGCCTGAAATTTATTATTGATTAACAAATCAAATTATTATGAAATATTTTTATTTTTAATTTTGAAATTTTAATTGTTAAGTTTAATTTAACGAGAGTTTAGCAGCAACAATAATCTATATTATTAAGAGAATAAGAAAAATTTTGTGTCCAGGATAGTCATATGATAAAATTGTTTTTTTTTAGTGGAATTTAGTGTCATTGCAAAGGTCTTGATTTGAATTAGTGCCTTTTCAAAGTTTTATATCATTCTCACCGATAATCAATTTATTATGATAAGTATTTAGGCTGCATTCAAAAATGCTCTATCTCTAGATACATAATTAAGAAATGACCTTGTATCTTGTGAACTATTGACATTTTTAAAGACATAAGCTCACTCCGACATTACTCTCATCGAGAACTTTCATTTGAGTACCCACATCATTTTTTCATATATTTATATATATTATGTATATGTATATATGAAAAATATATCAAAATGCATGTGGGTACTCAAATGAAAGCTCTTGATGAGTGTAACGTCGGAATGAGCTTATATCTTTAAAAACGTCAATAGTTAAGAAAGAACAGTGCAATTTAACAAATGTCTTGTGAACTATTGACATTTTTAAAGATATAAGCTCACCCCGATATTACACTCATCGAGACCTTTAATTTGAGTACCTACATCAATTTTTCATATATTTTATATATTTATATATATATATTATATATATGTAATACATATTATGTATATATGCAAAATGTATCAAAAATGCATGTGGGTACTCAAATGAAAGCTCTTGATGAGAGTAACATCGGGATGAGCTTATATCTTTAAAAACGCTAATAGTTAAAAAAGTAGAGTGCAATTTAACAAAAAATTGCTAGTTTGGAATTTTTTTTTTAAATATGGACATTAAAAAAAGATATAAGCTAACAATCAAAAGTTTTTTTTTTTAGATTTTATCAAAAATTCAAATTAAAAAAAAAATTTTCCGGATTTTTTTAAAAGAAATATTGACTTATATTGTCGATTTATTCCAAATTGTTTAAACTTAAATATTTTTGCAACTTTTTTAGTTATTAAATTAATAACAACTTCACTAGAATCTCCTTAATAATAATTAATAATATTAAATTGTATGTACTTACTGATACAATCGGGATACATAAAGTAACCAGGACTACATTGATCGCAAGCTCGTCCAGCAAAATTACCAAGACAGGAGCATTTACCATTGGCATCACAACTTATTGAGGAAGAACCGACGGAGCTACAATTACATGGTCTGCAATTTGGATATCCGTAGTAACCATTGATACATTGATCACATCTTGCTCCGCCGTAGCCTTCTTTGCAGAGACAACTACCGTCCCTTTTGTTACATACTTGGGGCTCAGTTCCTCGCGCATCACAATTACAGTCTTCAAGAAGTAAAATATTTTATTTTATGCAATTAAAAATAAGGATTTTTTTCATGAGATATTATTATATAAAATTAACTTACAGGTACAAACTGGATAATTGTAATACCCATCTTCACAAATATCACAAGTCCTGCCTCCATAGTTGTTCTTACATGTACAGTTGCCACTTACCACATCACAAACATCATCAAGAGATCCTTGTGAGTTGCATTCACACGCTGAAATTTTTATAAATAATTTATTATTATTATTATTATTATCATTTTGTAAATAATTACAAACATAATGAAAAAAAAAAACTCACGTAAACATTCAGGAAATTTGTAATATCCTTCAGCGCAAAGATTACAATAAGCGCCAGCATAATTTTCTTTACACGGACAACTTCCTTCAATAGCTTCGCAGTGATAACCGTCTGTTCCACCCAGGTGACATTCACACGGACGACAATTTGGATATCCGAAGTATCCATACGCACAAGAATCACAATCAGGAGCCGTGAATTCTTGCCGACATTCACATTTGCCCGTCGACTCGGCGCAGTTTCCAGTCGAGTAGAAAAAGTCGCAGTCACATCCTGAGAAAAATACAAAAATGGTAAATAAAAAAACCCAAATTTAATCAATTGGTAAAATATATTTATAATATTTACGCTGACAAACATCCGTATCATTCAATGGTTTTCCTTCGGGTCTAAAGTACTTGGGTTTACATTGATTACAATTTATTCCTTGGGTATTATGCGCACAATTTTGACAAACTCCACCTCCTTCGTAAACGCCATGAATGTCCAGAGACAAGTGCTTTTCATCCACTTCTGAGTCGTAAATACACTCGGTTGAATGTCCAAAACAATTACACGCTGGAAGAAAAATATTTTTTATTTGATATTACTCAGAAAGTTTAGTTAAAAATTTTATTCCTGTTTCAAATTTATGAAATTAAAAAAAGTTTGAAAAATTCAAAAGTGCACGACTCATAATGCTCATTTAATAATGAAATATTACTAAAATAAAAAATGTGAAAAAAAATATGTAAAACAGCTAAAATAGTACGATAATGCGTACGCGCCTCTAGTAGGATAAATATAGATGTACAGTCTTCTAGTTTTTGTTTTATTTTATTAATTGTACATAAACGACACTGAATTACCTAGCCATTCGCATTCGGTAACCTATTATTTTTCCAAAGGATTAAAAAAAAAAAAATTTCACTCAATTAATGCATTTTTTTCGCAAGTTACAGTGTTTCCGGAGTTTCATACATGACGGTCAGGAAAATTTTTTGACCTATTTTGATGTTTTTTTCCATTTCTATTACACTAAATCAATTTTTTAAAAATGTCAAATTAATATCCATTAAATTATCTCGACAATAGTATGCAAAATATATTGATTCCGTGAACTAACAAGACTATAATAATAAAAATAGTCGCCGAAATGAGGCGAAAAAAATTTTTCGATCGTAAACCACTCTGATGCTTCGCATCATGAGTCGTGCAATTAATTATAATTATATTCATATACAGAAAAAAAATTTACTTGAATCAAATAAATAAATTTGAAGAACTTTATCTTCTTGATTTGAGTAAAAAAAATGTAAACTAAGAAATTTTTCTTGATTTAAATAAATTTTACTTCATTCAAGAATTTTTCGTCTTGATTGAAGGCATTGAAATTCTTCAAAATTATTTTCTTGGTTCAAATTTATTTTTTTTCGAACATAATACTTACGTTCACAAGTAAACTTCTTAAATGCTGTGGAAATTTGCCATTTTTTCTGCTGAAATCCTGGCAAGCAAGAAGCACACTGAGGACCATAAGTGTTGTGCTGGCAAATACATTCCAATTTTTTCGGCTGCTTTGGGTCGCGGATATCGCAAGTCGCAGCATGACCATTACACATACAACGACCACCAATACTGATGTCTTTTATCGAGTAAAAGTACTAAAAATATAACGATAAAATTAAACTGATGAATGAGTGTATTATGAATTTATTCAGAGATCTTTCATTAAATATGAAGGTCTGAAGTTTATCGGTTGATAAGGATACAAATAGGCCATTGACTGGTTCGGTAAGTAAAAATTTATATAAATTTTTATCTAATATATGCTTACTCTTCTTGTTACAGTAGGATCCTGGCGAGCGACGGACATCAAGTGTCCAAGAAGATTTTTGGTCCTGAGAAATCGGAACCTGACGTTAGTAGCGCGGGTCCATTCTTGAAGGGGAGTAGAATTGAAGTAGTGAGATGCAGATGGACGGTTGTTCAAGATAGAAATAGGTATTTCTCCGCCTTCCAATGGCACGATTTTCGAGTACTCAGTCGTACATATCACACTGTCGTCACGTGAAATCGGCATTCTGCTGTCTACGCCGAAGTATGTAATACAATCGCTTGCTGAGTCGGAGAAATATTGCCACGGCTGCCAGGTTTTGCCGTAATCTTTCGACTTTTCTAACACCCACAAGCCGGGACGTGGAGAATTTCCCATACGTATGTACACATATGCTACGTGGAATTCCTAGTAAATTAAAAAAATTTTTATTATTTAATAATTATAAATTAAAAATTATAATTATTGATAATTATCATTATTTTTTAACAATAAAAAAATTTATTATTATTGTCAGGGTAATAAATTAAAATAAATTGTTACAATAATTAATTTTTAAGATTTTTTGGTTAAAATAAATTTTATTAAGAGTTTAAAAATAAAATTTACTTTCAAGAAATTTTAACAAAAAATCTTTATCTTATTAATTTATTAATCTGAATGGTATTTGAGAGAAATCCAAACAAGTTGTTAATATTGTAATTTAAAAAATGTTTGAGATTATGAAGATGTTCTTTTACTCTATTACACAGTAAAAAATAATGTGTTAAATACGGTCAACACACTTTTGTGTTAAAATGACACAAACTTTGTGTTAAAACCACACAAAGTGTGTTGAATTTTAAAACTAATTTTGTGTTGACCGTATTTAACACAGAAATTGTGTTGATTTTACACAATATTTTTTACTGTATACATCTATTGACTATGTAACAACCAGACGAGGATGTTAACCGTAAGAGTAACTATTGTCATTTTCATTTATTTTTTTTTTACATGTCAAGTATTTGTATTAACTAAAAATTATTTTTTTGATTTTCAGTTTGCCTGATGAGGCTGAAATAGATCAGCGAAACGTTGCAATTCTTATCATTTAATATCTTCATTTATTGTCCAAATTCCTAAAATCAAGTTATTTAAATATTTTAAATATGGACGAGAACTTAAATATTAATTTAACAAAAAATTTTTAGAAAATTTATTGTAATAGATATTATTTATAATTTATTTAAATAATTAAATTAAAATTAACTATTTCTACTACTTGTAATTTTTCAAGTATCATATACTCCAGATTATTGAAATCAAAGCGATTTAAAGATTTCTTAACATATTTTTCTTTATCTATGTTAATAAAATAACAAAACGTGGGAGTAGTTTTTTTTTTTTTTCAAGTATAAAGGGTCCGGTGGCCAGATGTGTTTCTTTACAGCCTCAAACATTTATATCTCGTCTTTCTCTATTTCTTTTTCTATTCTCCTCCGCTTTTTACTCGTGTACATGATGGATCTAAAAACATGTGCGGGTTTAGAGCCCTTCTGGCCTCAGCAGTCCTTATTCTAAGAATACTCTCTTTCTAGGCGACGGTCGTCGTTAATTTAGTAACTTAACATCCAAAATTAATAAAAAAAAAAAAATACTTCATTAAATAAAAGTCTATTTAATTGCAATAAAATATCGAAACATACATTTAAAGATTGAATATTATCTGAGCGATAATACGCTTCCTGTGTCTCAGGAAGCCGCCTCCATACATGATAACTCATTTTATCGTATTCTTCGAAGAGATAAATTTATATATACTTTCCGCTTATTTCTTCACTTTATACTCTAAATGTTTTACTTAATATACATAGAATTATTAAAAAAATAATTTACCTGGCCCAAATTTATTGTCAAATTAACTTCATTGTACTTCATTCCTCGAGATAGCGGCGGTGATTGCCACCAGGTTTCCATTCCATCGACTGCATGCTCCGGGGGGTGATTTTTTCCCGGCGCAGTAGGATCACAGACATCGCAAACCTTATTTTAAATTCAAATTTTTCATTAATAATTCATGGTTTTAAAATAATTGCACACCCTCATACATCAGCATACATTACGACTCAAATAACAACAGTAAAAATAATAACAACAGCCATAACAATAATGGGAAGCAATAAAACAAATCCAAGTAACCGTCTGCGTAAGTTATTTTTGGTCATGAGAATTTAAATTCAAAACTTTACTTCTTAAACTCTGTTACTGTTATATTAACTTACATCACATTTGTAAACCCATAATTTATGTTTAAATTGATAACATATATATTAGGGCTATCTTGGGTCATTTTTATCTAAAATACTTATTCAGAAATGATCCAAGAAATTTTTATCTTGCATGGATAATATATTTTAAATTATGTAATTATTAAAAATTTTATTTTATTAAAAATTTTAATTCATTAAAATTTTATAATCATTTTTTTTAGGACCGAGATGAAAAAATTTGCTATAAAAAATAAAAAAAAAAAGGATTTACTTGTCCTTGAATAAGATTGACATCCTCGTCTTGATCAGAACTAGCACCCACAAGCTGACAGTACAATTCGGGACCAGGAGTATCGACACCACACGTTGCCGAGGCAATAATTTCTTTTCCTTCGGCCAAATTGAAGTAAGGAGGAGTTAAAATTTCTGCATTTATGCTTTGGATTACTCCAAAGCATAGCAGCAGCAGCCACCTCATCTTAAAACTATTATTTTGATATTATTTTATTTATTAACTTATTCTTATTATTTATCACTGATACAGTTAATTTATAGAACAGAGTAAAAAACAATAATAACACAATCGAGCGTTTCTCCCACCCGTTTTAGGATGAAGCCGGCTTGGCTTCTGCATCCAAACTGAACAGATCCAGACTAAATTCAGATCACAGGCTCTGTTGCTTATGCGGTAGCTGGTTAGTTGTAGTTGTAGTTTGTAACTACGCGAGTAGAGATGATGGAGATGGAGATGGAACAGAGAAAGAAGTAAGTATGGGGTGAATGAGAGAATGTGTTTTGTAGTAGCATTTTTTTCTTCTTCTTCACTTTCATCTTCCTTTTCTTCCTATCCGTTCTTTATTCTTTTTTATTTATTTTTCCCATAAATTTAGTAGTAAAAAATTTTTAAATAATTAATACTTTTTTATAAGTACCCAAGTGGCACAAAAAATTTTTTTATTACCTTTTTTTGAATTTAAATTGACAATTCGGCTGCCCAATTTTAAAACACAGTAACTGCAAAATTTTTATACCTGATTTTTTTTTAGTATTGCTGCATTTTTTATAACTTTTAGACCTTAATTTCAAGTATTTTTTCTTAAAAATATTTATATTCAAGTATTTTCTTAACAAGAAAAATTAAAAAAAATCTTAAAATTGTCAGTTACTGTGTTTTGAAATTGGTCAGCCGAATTGTTAATCTTATAATTTTTCAAAAAGTAAAAATTTTTTTTGTAACGCTTGGGTAGTTAAAACTTTTATTAAAATTAATAATAATTTTTAAATTTTTTTTAGTATTGCTGCATTTTTTATAACTTTTAGACCTTAATTTCAAGTATTTTTTCTTAAAAATATTTATATTCAAGTATTTTCTTAACAAGAAAAATTAAAAAAAATCTTAAAATTGTCAGTTACTGTGTTTTGAAATTGGTCAGCCGAATTGTTAATCTTATAATTTTTCAAAAAGTAAAAATTTTTTTTGTAACGCTTGGGTAGTTAAAACTTTTATTAAAATTAATAATAATTTTTAATAAACACAAAAAATAACAATACAATAAATTACAATAAACATTTTGTTTTATTGAACTATTGTTTAAAATAGTAATTTTATTATTGATTAAACTGTTAGTATAATTATAACAATAATTAATATAATAGTTATTTCTTAAAAATATATATTTGATTACTCAGTATATAAATATATTATATAACGAACAACGATTGTAGATGAATTCGTTCAGTTTTCGCGATATCTTGAACAATTTTCAACCATTAGACCCGGGAGCGATTCAAGAACTTATATATGTACACAGATCTTTCAATTTATATAACTTAAAATAAAAATGAACTTTTCAAAAATATTTATTCGCTCGTTTTAGAAGTTTCGCTGACCATCACCGAAGGATTAATTTTATGAGAAGCAACGCCATCAGTGCCTGCATGCTTCTTTGGAACCAGTAGAGTCTGTAAATTTTTAAAATTCATTTTAATAATTTTTATCAGACTGAAATCAGTCACTCGACCATTTTTGGATTTTACTCAGCAAACAAATTAATTCTATAAATTTTTTTTTTTTTAATTTCATTTGTAGTTTTTAAAAAATAGTATATTACACACCGAGGGAAGTCAAGTAAGAAATGTATCAGATCACATGTAATTGTTGGCCGAGGCGAAGCCAAGGTCAACAAACATGTGATCTGAGGCTTTCTTATTTACTTCCCAAGTATGCTATTTTTTTGCTCGACGAAGGCAGAAAGTGGCAATTTCGTTTAGCGCAGCGGGCCGAAATTTGACGCTTTCTGCCCGTCGAGCAAAAAAAATTTTTTTTTCATAATTTATTTGTTAGAAAAATCCTAAAAATTATCAGATGTCTCAATTTCAATATTATTGATTTTTAATTTTAACAATTGCGTTGGTATTTATATTAAGATTAAAATTACAGATACTTACTTGGACAATCGATTCCGCGCTTGTGTTAGTGTCTCAAGCTCATCTTTAAGTATATATTTTCTTATTCCTAATATATATCCATGGACGTAAGTACTCCAGTCAAGTGTTTTAATATCAACGTTAAAGTTACTGCTGTCAGTGACAGTTTTTACGCATTCCGATAATTGATTAACATTATCGCTCAAAAAATTCCATTCATTGTTAGCAAAGTAGTAGCCTGTTGATGCAATTCGCGCGAAACGTTTTGATAATTTCAACATCCTAGAAAAAAAAATTTATGTTTTTGGTTTCATATGTACAGTAAATTTTTTTTAATTTTTAAAAACGAAAACAAAGTAAAAACTCTAATTAAAAAAAAAAAAAAAAGATATATAAAAAACATAACTAATTTTCTGAGTCGTAAAATAGGTAAAATTTATAAAAATAAAAATATAAAAACATGTAAATAAAGTTATTTTTAAAAGTCAAAAAGGCAAATTTTTAGTTTCCAAAAAAATTATTAACTTACATGGGTTTTTCCCCTCGGAATTTCAAAACAATGTCAATGATAAATGCAGGCACATGGTGAAACAGCACCGTGGAAATTTTATGAAATAACAAACTGGGTGTATAATTGAACCCTGGATACCAGACGGCAAGTTTTGTCGGAGATTCAACGGCATATTTGTTGAGATAATAACCGAATTTTCCCCATCTAGAAATTTGATTGATAATAATGTTTTTTGCTATCAATTACGTTTCCAATAAAATGATATTAAGTAGAACACTTACGTGATAGGATTACGAGCCCCGCTAACGCAATTATAAATTTTAATGGTATTAGTGCGTCTCATAACATTGTGCCAGGCTGCGCAAACTAGAGTATCGACAACGAAATCCACTGGAATAATGTCAACCTTAAGATTTTTCTTGCAGTAGACACTTTTCAGAGTACCACGACTAATTTGGACGATCAGGCCCGTAAGGCCACTGGTGTTATCGATCCAACCTGGATATGGCTCGCGATAAGCTGCACAGACAATGCTTGGACGCACTATTGCAACAGGTAGACTTGTTCCTCTTTTTAAAATAATTAATTCAGCCAATCTTTTGGTCAGCGTGTATGTGTTTGGATGCCGGCCTTTTAATTTTTCTTCCAGGATAGCCAATGTCTCGTCGTCTAGATTTTCACACATGTCTATTGCAATTTCTGGCATTATTTTTGTGCTGAAATTATTATTTAGAAAATTTGGTTAATGATTTTTATTATATTATAATTAAAAAATTCTTTTAATTTTAAGAATAAATTGTAAGAAAATTTTAATTTTAAATGTTTGGACTTTGATAAGATCTGATGACAAAAAATTACCTGTAAATAATTTCATCAACTTCAGCCTGTTCAGGATTACTGTAGGCAGTGCTAACGTGAATGAAACTAATGAGATTTATCATTCCAGTACAAAGTTCGACAACACGTTCAGTACCGCGTGTGTTCAAAGTCATAGCGACTTTTAATGGTTCATTGAACCTGACCGTAGCTGCACCATGGAACACGATGTTTACTTTTTGTGTTAACATCAAACGGTCCTGCTCACTTAGACCTAGGTCCGGCTGGCTGACGTCACCCATTACCGGGATTATTTTGCTAAATGCACTCGGGCATTCTCGTCTTATTCTGTCAAACACCTAACAAACAACAAACGTTAATTCTTTATTATTATTTTTTTATTTTTAAATAAAATTCATAATTATATGTACAGTAAAAAATTTTGTGTCACTGCGTCAAAAAACTTAGTGTTAAAAATTTTTGTGTTAAATATTTAACACTTTTATGTGTAAATTTAATGAAAATGAAGTTAGCTGACATTTCAAAATTTTTAGAAATTTTTTATTAAAAAAATTTCAATTAAACAATTAAAAAAAAAAATGTCACATGTTAAAAACTTGAAAAACTATAAGTGCAATTTTTTATAAATATCTTTTTAGTTGTAATTTAATTAAAAAAAAAAAAATTAACAAAATTTTTAGACGTCTGTTAACTTCAGTGTCATTAAATTTAACATTTATTTTCTGTTAAATCAATAAAAAAAAGTGTTAAATATTTAACATAAACATTTTTAGCACTGAATTTTTTGACGCAATGACGCAAAATTTTTTACTCTGTATAAATATTATAATAATGAACTTACAGTGCTGTCCAGTAGTGCTTGGAACCTTTCTTCCATAGTAAGGTCTTTCTTTGGACGTATCAAAACGTAAATCGTGGATATTCTTGGACATGATCGTAGTAATTTTTCTAGCAGAGCTTTTCCAAGGAATCCTGTAGCTCCTGTGATAAGAATAACTGATGCTGCGAAAAATGCTTCGATAGATGTTCCTCCAGGATTGGCCTCTTCATTGTTATGTTTATGATCATTTTCTGTTTGTGTATTCGATGTACCCATTTTTTTTTATTTTTATCTTATATCTGTAATTGTTTAAAATACAATTTAATAAGTTATAAAATAGTAACAGTAATTATCACAATATAGTTGAGAGAATAAAAAAAATATTTTATTGTCTCCGAATTAAATTAAATTTGGTATTATCAAAAATATCTTGACCTTAATTTGTGTCTTATCAAGGTTTCAGATGATTTTCAACGATTGTTAATTCATTATAATAAGTTTTTGGAATATTTCTAAATAGATAAAATTTTTTTATCAGTCTAGAGAATAAGGAATATTTTGTGACGGGCTTATCGTTACTACGTAATGGGTCTATAAAGTGAAATTTGGTACCATTAGAAAGATCATAACTTGAATTTATGTCTTTTCATGGCTTGATATTTTTTTTCAGCGATAATCAATTAATTATCTAAATAATTAAGAGAGTGAAGATATTTTTTGATTGACATTTTTTATTTTAACAACTATTTTTATATTTAAATTTGGTATCATCAAAAAAGTATTGAGATAAATTTGTGCCTTTTCACGATTTTACATATATTTTTGGTGACATCAAATTTTTTATGTTAGTTTTTTGGAAGAGTTTTAAATAGTTTATTGATTCTGTAAGTTTCTGCTATGAAATTTTTGATTCAATTACTGGTAATTGATTATCAGCAATATTATTTTTTTAATTTATTTTAAAAGTACCTAAACTGTATATTGCAATTTAAATGATCAAAAAATCATTAATTCTCGGCATTCACATAGTCACCGCAGGTTGCTAGTAATAATAATAATAATTTTACCAATATTTAAAGTTTGAATATTATTTAAAATCATACAGATCAATATTATTTCATTGAATATTAAATTAAAAATTAGCGAATTTATAAATACCAAAAAATCTATTTTTTTATGCTCGCTCGTAAAAATTGAAGAGCAAGAAAATTTTTCCTCTTACAATCTATTAAATTACTAATACTAATTAAATAGCCATTTTTTTAACCAAACTCAATAAAAATAATCTAAAAGTAGCGTTAACTATCAACTCTACAATGATATTGATAACGGACAAGCGTCAATGCGCTAATTAAAAATAAAGTGTTTTTAAAATACCTTAAAGGAAGTATGTTACCTCTACTTTTCGAAATACTTGAAAGAAAAAAATAGATAATATCTTAATAGACACAAACCAACAACTATGTTTGTATATCGTGTTTGAAAACTGATTTTAATTTCATAAATATTTTAACACATTCCTTTCCCTATAACGATTGTATCAAGCTGTTGATAGATCAATCGAATGATAAAAACACGGAAAATACAATATAAAAAACTTGTTCGCGAGTATTTTTCCTGCGAATAGTTAAATATCGATCAGTCAAACAGTGAAAGTGAAACTCTTTATTTCTCACTTCCCGTACAAAAAAAATTTTGGTTCCGGATGAATTTCCGGATGAACTTCAGATTGTGAAACAAATATGAATTTCATAATGAATTTCATCGGGAATTTCAGCTGAATTTCATGAAGAATTTGAAACAAATCACATATAAAACTTAATTTTTTTAATTTGTAAAAAAATATTTGGAGAAAGTTATATTGGAAATTTTAGTGTAACTTATGCTGACTCATTATTTACGATTCTTAAACTTCTATCTGGATAAATTTTTTGGAGTAGAAGAACACAATATGTAAAATAATAATTTGAAATTCATTATGAAAGTAAGCTGGAATTCCAGATAAATTTCATGATGAATTTGAATCACTTTGTATATGAAACTTAATTTTTTTAATTTGTGAAATAATATTTGGAGACAATTATATTGGAATTTTTAGTTTTATTTACACTGGCTCAACATTTGCAATTCTATAACGTCTATTCGGATAAATTTTTTGGAGTAAAAGAACACAATATTCAGAACAATAATTCGAAATTCATCATGAAAGTCACCTGGAATTCCAGATGAATTTCATGATGAATTTAAACTAAATCGCATATAAAACTTAATTTTTTTAATTTGTAAAAAAATATTCGGAGTCAATCATATTGGAATTTTTAGTTTTACTTACACTGGCTCAACATTTGCAATTCTATAACGTCTATTTGGATAAATTTTTTGGAGTAGAAAAACACAAAATGTAAAATAATAATTCGAAATTCAATATGAAAGTCAGCTGGAATTCCAGATGAATTTCATGATGAATTTGAATCACTTTGTATATGAAACTTAATTTTTTTAATTTGTGAAATAATATTTGGAGACAATTATATTGGAATTTTTAGTTTTATTTACACTGGCTCAACATTTGCAATTCTATAACGTCTATTCGGATAAAATTTTTGGAGTAGAAGAACACAATGTGTAAAATAATAATTCAAAATTCATCATGAAAGTCAGCTAGAATTCCAGCTGACTTTCATGATGAAATTCATATTTGTTTCACAATCTGAAGTTCACCCGGAAATTCATCCGGAACCAAAATTTTTTTTGTACGGGAAAGAAGCTATTTTATTATTTTTTTATTTTTCCAGATGGTGAGTTGAAATTTTAGGTTTTTTTTACAAAAATAAATTGTAAATTACTTCAGAAAAACTTCCTTGAATTTTTCTTTCATATACTATTTGTTTCAAATTCATCATGAAATTCATCTGGAATTCCAGCTGAGTTTCATGATGAAATTCATATTTGTTTCACAATCTGAAGTTCATCGGGAAATTCATCCGAAACCAAAATTTTTTTTGTACGGGTTGTTATCTTTATATACAGAAACATATAGCTCAGAGATATAATTGGGTATCACGACATTTTACCCGCAAACGAAATACCCTCAAAAAAAATACTATGGATATTTTCTAAAGGGTATTTTTGCTCGCTAGAATTTAAAATTATGGATATTTTTTCGCTATGATTAAATTTCGATAAGCCGTAAGATCAATACAAGTGCGTTAATTCAATATTTAAACAGATAGTTGCTTTAAAAAAATATGAAATTAATATGATACTGAAGTTAGCCGACGTTTTTAATTTTTTTTCATTTATTTAAATAGAACTAAAAAATATTTTTCAAAAATTGTACTTGTGGTTTTTCAAGTTTTTTACAAATGAAAATTTTTTTTTAATTTTTTTATAATAATTTTTTCAATAAAAAAAAATTCTAAAAATTTTTAGATGTCGGCTAACTTAATTTTCATAAATTAATTCAAATTACAGATGTGTTATTTGAATTTCAAGCAGAAATATTATAGTTATAATTGAGCAGAGATAAGAGAGACAAGTGTTAATTCAATATTAAGACAAATTTTAGTTTCTTCAAAAAAAATGAAATTGATTCAAATTACAGGTGTTATTTGAATGTCAAGCAGAAATATTATAGTTATAATTGAGCAGAGATAAGAGAGACTATAATTTTAAATAGAACAGAACTTAACATGAAACAGTGTAATATAAATATAATGGGATTGTATCACGTACTAGCGTTTAATTTTTCACGGATGTCATTAATTTTTAATAAAATGATACCTTGAAGGTAGTAGTAACCTTTATAAATCGATAAAGATGAGTCGTACAGTCGCACGTGGTGTCCAATGTAGTACAATAAATTCACAATATAGTTATACTTGCATGTGTAATATAATAAACTGATACAATGGACACATACAGTCATGTATATCAAACTAAATGTATATATATATATATATATATATATATATATATATATATATATATATA